GTGTCGTACATACAGACATAGAGGTCAATATAAAACGGCTATACGTATAACGTCAAAAGCTTTTTATTTCCACGAACGTAGCAAACATCAAATAACATAAAAACTTTGTATCCATGAATTCGAAAGTAAGCATTATCATAATCATTTGAATATTTCCTTAGAATATTTTGATAAGATCTTGTACACCTATATAAGATGTTAGCAAAATATTTTACAGGCAAGCAATGATCTGCCACCATTTTGATGGCGTACACTATACGAGTACGTCATCAATATACATATTTAGTAAAAAGACTGACTGAAATTTAAATGAACCTGATTATGATAGGTAATTTGAAATATATTTAACTAACTGACTGAATGCACGGATGGCGTAGTGGTTTAAGCGGTCGCCACGCCGCTTCCTACAACGCCGAGTGTTGTGGGTTCAAACCCCACATGGGACGACACTTTGTGTGATCCACAAATTGTTGTTCTGAGTCTGGGTGTTCTTTGTGTCCGTTTCATGTATGTTTGTAAAGTCCCCCGCGACACAGGATATATTCCTAATGCGGGAGTTATCTTTTTAAAGAAAAAAAAAAGAAAAAAAAAAAAAAAACATGACGATGTGACATTCAGTGTTTTAGGGAATAAGCTATATTTAAGTTGTATAGAACATGAAGCTAATACGTCGTGACGCTATAACTAACGTCACTACATTCAAGATGGCAGATAATTTGTATGGCACTTGTTCAACTATCATCTAATGAGGCAAACACCAGTTGACAAGTTCCCCAAGGTCGGTGCTGAGTGTTAGGAATAACTTACATACTTACAGTTGCTGGATGTGGGACAACAGCTAGAGGTAGCGGTGATAGATGAAAATGTAGGCATACTAACATCTGAAGGCAAATTATCGTAATAAAAGTTCGATCTCAATTCAGTTCCGATCAACTTTCGATCTCACAACTCTCATGAAATGTATTTAGTATTAAAGTATTAAACATCCAACGTTGACTGTAATGTGATTATATCGTACTGTAACCAAAAATTAATTCCGTAATTTTAGTCTTAGTAATACTTTACTATTTCATTACGAGAATTGGCCCTCTGGTAAAAACGAAGTACCAAATTTAAAAGATTTTTCCCTAGTATAATTATGATTCGCACTGTTTAAACAAATGGATGAATGAAACTAGCTAAGTGAACTGCAAGCAAGGTAGCTTTCACAGGTCTTAGTCTAAAGCCGGAATGTCAGATGCAGAATCAAATATTACGAGTCTCAGCAGCTCGAAATTCATAAAATATTTAGTTAATAATTACCAAAACCAATCATACAGTTCTCAAATTAACAACATTTTTTAGCAGCGATTGTATATCATTAATTCTTCATTTAGTGAATGTGGTAAGCTAGCAAGCACAAAAAGGTATTTTTTCAAAGAAAATGATTAAAACTTATCTGATTTTTTGTGAAATAGGTACCTGCAATAAGAGATACAAGTGTCACGCAACAATGCGACTGAAGAAAAAATAAGTAGTGCAGTAATCATTCAGGTTGAAGTGACATAAACTGGTAGAAAATACCAAGCTGTCTGAACTGTCAACGAGTAAAAACATGAGACATGCTCACATACATAATGCATTTTCATAATAAACAGTATTATCAACCAGAAATAACAAGTACTCGGCTATCACACCACTCATTGTGGCAGCGTAGCATTAAACTGATACCATTATCTTGGCTATATCATAAGAGTTATTCTTAATTATTTAGAGTAATTCGTAAGAGTTATTCTTAATTAGTTAATGAAAAGATTTGTGCCATAGGATGTGAGCATCGGTTTAGCGTCCGGGTACAAATTAATATAGCTATACAATTTATGAAAAGATCACAATTGTGATGCGTTACTGGGCGTGTCCTAATTAAGGTTATCGTAAGTGTGCTACAGCTCGATTTTTCTTTTAACATGCTTTTAGCTTATATGTTTATATGTAAAGGAATCTTTGAACGTGATTTTCACCCACTTTAAAACGTCGGATTGAATTGAAACTTCGAATAGTTATCAAGGACCCGTGACAATACAATAATATGATAAATTTGTCCGATGAACTTGATGAGGATCATCTGGATTAAGGACTTTTTTCATACCTAAAAATATGGTATACATAAGTCTTTTTTGCCACGTACAAAGGTACATGTAACTTACTTCTTACCTTTTAAGTCTTAATGAGAACAATGGAGACAATCAATGTTGTACAATTTCCTGTGAGATTACGCTAAAATGATTGCCATCAATACAGTTCAGATGACTCGTGCGTAATCATACTAAAGTTACTAATGAGGATGCTTCGAGCTCTGTGAATACACAGCTTACAAGCTTCTCAGCATAAAAACTAGTTACCCTTGAGGATAATATTAGGGGAACAAGTTACCGGAACTTTCAAGATCTCTTTAGGTTTCTTCCAGACCATTGGTGGACGAAAATAACAATAGGGTTTTAAGTGAATTGATTGTATTTATCAAGTGTTTAAAGATAAAGCTGTGGAAAATGAATTATAGTACTACAATTTTGTTAAAATGAATTTAAACAGTGTGCCCTATTCATTACTATAGCTTTTTATATAATTTTACTGCATTCTACAGACGATGAAACAGAGCCGTGAATGATAGGTAAAAAAATATTTGAATAGCCGTCACAATTCGAGATTTTCTGATAATAAAAGCAAAACTTTTTCTTCTCCTGCTGTTTTCTTTTACTTTTTTTGTGTGAGGACAGTTTTTGGTACAACTAATATTATTTCACAGATGGTGTTGTGGCAAAGTCGATTGAAACTACGGCCAAATTGACTCCTAACAAAGTAAAATGAACGAAAAAGTAAAATGAATGAATGAAAAAGTAAATGCACATCACCTCGCCGCTTCCTATAGCGCTGTGTTGTGAGTTCGATCCCCACATGTGACAACATTTGTGTTCATGTATGTTTGTAAAGTGACATACGATAAATTCCTATTGTGGGAGTTATTTAAATAAAAGACATAAACATTAGAATCATATTTGGAACTTCAAGGACCTAAAACGTGTATGAAATCCTATGCACTATTTAATGCAATATATCGTGATTCGAGATTTTGACGTAAGTGCAAGTTGTCTTGTTAGACGCGTTAGGTAACGTAACGTAAACTTTGTATATTGAAAACTATAAGGAAATTATCACGTCTCAAGGGCAAGATGAGGAATCTCTGTTCTCAGTATTGAGAAACTATTTCAAGATAATTGAAATAGTAGCGACTTTGTATCAGTAACCATTGGTATTTATTGAATCTAGATCTGCAAGGAACCTTAGGCCTTATTCACGTTTTAGCGGGGTAATCGAATTGTTTGTTTTTTTGGCACACGTTACTAAAGCGAAAAGGTTATCTTACTATGTATGTCCAATCTCATAGGCCAACTTTCGATTCGAAGTTTGGATACATGACTTAGTAAATTGCCCACAGCAAACGAACTATACACGTGCTGCATACATTTAATTCATCTGGGTTGCGCGGCATCGCCGATAAGGTTAGGTTATCAGCAGCCAAAGTATGATCATCCCACCCTGGCTAAAATCCAGAAGCAAATTTAAGTCAAACTTGAATTGCATATTGTTAAAAGACACAAGAGAGTATCGAAGAGATGAGAAATTAAACCAAAAAAACCGGTCACCACTCCTATTCATCCCGTAAGTTGAGCCGACTAAGGGAGCAAACCCTATGAAAACCCATCTGGCTAGCGAATTACAGTAGGCCAAAACCTCCTTTCCTTCCTTTTTTAAGGAGAAGTCTATCCAGCAGTAGACTATTGAATTAAGGCTTTTGATGAGGATGATGTCTATGAAATCAGACTACATATTCTCAAAAACTTGTCAAGTATTTTTATGATAGTTTGGTTACTTTAAAGGCCTTTAGATAAAGATTAAATATGGTTGTGGGCTTACAAGCATATTCAATTAAATAAGACACGAAGCCATTACAATAAGTAAATCATGACATCCGGCCCGTTGGCGTATTAAATTAAAAATATTATTGTAAGTCGCTTACCGGAGAGTAGCTCACATTATTATTTGAGTTACAAATGTTAAATAAACTTCATAATAGGTTGGCTTGAGAGCGACAATTATCTGGCTCAGCCTCCGATTTGGCACGACACCTTAATGTGACAAAAACTGCTATTATTTATGCTACCACCTTTTCCGATAACCAAGCTATTTATTATCTAAATATCGCTGTCTCCAAAACTCTACGTGGTGTTATCTATTGCTCAGCTCTCCATTACATTTTAGCCTACAGCCAGATTCATGTCAAGTTCGTATATGAACTACAATGTTCAAACTGATTTTCAATACCTAACGATTCGCTTCTGTGCACATTTTGCCATAAAACTGTTTACATATACGCTACTTAACTATCTTTTAAACAGATAACATCGTAATAATTCAATTTGTATAGGATAATAACGATAAAAGTTCAAGGTCGAGCGCCAAGGTCATATTATAGATTAACAAAGAAATGAGTATATCACACTGCACAGCCGGCTGGCTGCGCACGTAACGTTCTCCACTCTGTGGTACCGGGCACAAGTGGATGGGCAGGAAGGGGATATAAAAAACTAGGCGTTTTTTGTAAATCCAATAGAAAATAAACAATACGCACACCGCACCTGGGTAGGTCAGTATGCTAATAAGATTCTAATAATACTACCGATTAACATACACAAGGTACACACAATGTGTATTGTTTTATTCTATGACAAGTATCACCTGAGCGTTATCAAACACTGATTCCTACATTGTGTGTCGGATTGCGAAATCGATTTTCAATTGTTCTGGACTAACACCTGCAAATTTCCGACGCGAGCCCTAATGTTGTTACGGTGAAAATGTAAGAAACGAGAGCCGGCCGGCTCAAGGACCGACTGCACCAGATACGGCTAAACTACTGGTTCCTGGCCGGTTTGACCGGGTCAGGCTAGTGGCAAACTTACCAGAGTCGGTGCGTTCTGCCTCGTCGTCCGACTCGGTGCCGGAGTCGCGCTCCTCCACCTGCAAAAAAACAAACACCTCCTCAAACATCCGATCAATCGCAGACGTCGGCCATCATGCACCCGGCACCTACACCGCCACTTTGGCCGCCGATTTCGCCGGTTCCCAAACAAAATATACGCTTAGAAACTAGTCGCAACGGTCGGATAGTTCGCTAGTTACAACTAGGCACAGTATTTGGTCTAGGCAAGCCCGCACCGCGCGCTCGGGGAGCCGGCGATCGTTCCGCTTCTTTGTTCTCTCGGTCGGCGGCCATTTTCTGGTGGCGGTGTGTGACCTTCACGTCGTTTGCCGGCTTGCGTCGACACCCACCTTCTCGGAAACGCTCTCCTCATTCAACGAATGCGTTCGCAGCTTATGAGTCAGGAATTTGAGCATTATTGAGCCTCGGCTCGCTCCGATCGTCCGCCGCTGCACTCACTAACGCTGCCCTGCAGCCACTCGCACTCGGTACGGAGATATATCTCGCGATACTGAACAATCCGGACGCGATATAGTCGCCCTCGTACCTATGGGAATCGTTCCAAAAACATTTTAAACCTCAATAACATATCCGCATATCACATCCACACGTCTGCACCCGACCGTCGACTGTGAACGCCGGACTACTACTACTAGTTTAGTTAGAGTAGCCTTGCGTACGACGCAGTCAGCTGAAGTGGGCTCGACTCATTAATGCCGAAAGGACGTAAGAGCGATCACGCTAAATACTGCATCCCGGCAAGAAATTCGAAGACATGATGATAGATAGAAACATCGGAGAGATTATAGAACCTAACGTGCCTTCTGAGTTTATTTAAATATAGCGTAAAACATTGTCGAGTGGCACTCCAAATGGACTCGCCCGGCAACTCATTGATGACAAAGAACCGGAACACGCAGAGATCGGACGCGATTGGACAAAACATTACAGAATAGGATCGAAATTTAATGCAATATGTGACGTCTCGCTCTGACATAGGCGGCGTGGGCTTAATCAGTGTGGAAAGAATGAGTGAGACAGAGTATACACACACCGACAGTCTGTTATATAATACAGCTCTGATAATAAATCGCTGATAAAAAAGTTGCGCATGTTAGTAAGGTATGGATATTCCGACCGTACTTGTGAGAGCATTTATAATGTTTGAATAAAATTGTGATTAAATTTTAAAAGACAATGTGGGATACATTATCTTTTGATTGCATACGTGGCTTAATATGCGAGTTAAAGCTTTACTTTAATTTAATATATTTAAATTAATACACCATTTATTCATTACAAAGGGATAAGACGGGATTGTAGGCACGGATGGCGTAGTTTAAGCGGTCACCTAGCCGTTTCCTACTGCGCTGAGTGTTCTGGGTTCGATCCCCACATCGGACCACACTTTGTGTGATCCGCAAATTGTTATTCTGCGTCTGGGTGTTCTTTGTGTCCGTGTTATAAATGTTTGTAATGTCCCTCGCGACACAGGATTCATTCTGTGCGGGAGGTACCTTTAAATAAAAAAAAGGTTTTAAGATAATTTTACTTTGAAAGTCTTTTATTATAAAAGTTAATCAAATAATATATTTGCATCTAGGTAGTAACTTCTAGAGTTTAGAAACGGTTTAACAGTAACGATACACATACATCTGCAATGCAATGAATATATCTGTAATCATTTGTTATTTAGACAACATTAAGATTGTTTAAGTTATAAGTCATTAAATAAGTCAAGACTTTTGCGGATTTGTGAATTTGTACTTGGATTTACGTGAATGTTACACGCGCGGTATATCCATAGCATGCTACCTCCGTGGAAGTTACATCGGTTGCCATAATGAATAGCGCGACGCCATGTCTGTTACCTGTGTGAGCGCGCCTCGCGCATGCGCCGTCCCAGTTCCGGCGGGAACATTTGAAATTAGAACTCTACAGAAATGTTATCGAACGATGAAATGCAAGGATAGCAGTTGTTTTCGTTGTAACTGGTCAGAGGCACACATATAGGAAAAACCTAATCCTCTCTTCTGAATATTTTTTGTCTGTCTGTCTGTTTGTTAAGGGTAATCTTCAAAATGGCTGGACCGATTTTGATAATATTTTATACAAAGTAGCTGTCTATATAAAGAGTAACTTGGCTATTTTTCCTCTCAGAAAAGTCCAAAAAAATCTTGCCCGGTCCAGGAATCAAAACCGTGACCTCAGGGACAGTCTTTTCAAATTCAACGCGATCGAAGTCACGGGTACCAGCTAGTTTAATATAAATTCTTAAGCTCTTTATTTAAAAACCTTACCTTCGCTAAAAGCATTTAGCAACAAAAGTTTATATCTTTTTCAAATACCATTTTGATTACCTACGAGAGATATCTTTTAAAGAAATATAGAGCACAGAAGTTTATTTGAAATACTTTTTGTTTATAAGTACTAGAAGTTCACAAACCTCACATTTTTAGGCAATGATGTTCCTAATAGCCATAGGGATGCCAATATATATTTTGACCTGTCGTGGTACAAAAATCTATACAATGATATTTCAAGTTATACCGGTACTACAATAAAATAAAACAAACATTTTAGATGGCCGAAACTCGGACCGCCAGGCGTAATAATATTATAGCATTGCTTATGTATAGGTAATCTATAAAGAACACCATAGATATAATGATAATAGATAAATAAGAAAATCAAGTAAAAAACAACTTATTTATTGTATACAAAATTCATTTGCAAATTTAAATACACAAAGTATATTCGTCTTACATTTAATACAAGTGTTACAACTACTTACGATAACACAAATATTAGTTAAAATTCATCATATTGTGGCAATGCTGATTTTATAGGTAAAAAAAAAAGACAGAAAATGCTGAGATGAATGCTAACAGAAGGCTTAGAAAGTTTCTGTAAGCCTAAACCTGTACGAGGATCGATCGCGATGGAGGCTCCAGGGGGTAGAGCACAGTGTGTCCAAGAAATAGTAGGGCCTCCCTTTTATCCAATACATTCGACACATTCAGAGAGCTTTAACGTCGCAGCCTTCGCCTCTGTACGTGATGATAGTCTTCTATCCCTTTCACTTGTTCACTGCTTCGTGTGTTTAGGTACAGTATTTGTAAGGTTATAATTAAAAAAACGAACAGCTAAATTTAATATTACCTATATATACAAGTTTATTACATAAACAACAAATACAACAGAACAAACAACAACAATATACATATTTTACCAAATTAAAATGGCTGCCAATAGTTTTGAGCACATTTTTGGAACGAAGTTCCTTATCGCGCATTACACGCTCTGAGCGGATAGGAGCGAGACCGAAAAATATGTAACAAGATTTTTTTCCGACACTTCTTGATATACTACGCTATTTTTATGCGCTTTTCGCCATAGAGAGTGACTCAAGAGGAAGGTTTATATGTATAAAAATGCATATTATAGTAAATAAAATCCGAGATCTTTAAAGATTTGTCTTAAAAACATGTTTTTGTGGGCTTACATTGCAAACGCTGGCTAATAATAAATAATGTACTACAGAATTGTATATTTTAAAAATGTCCACAAAAAAATTCCACGATGGCATATGTCTATCTACTGAGGATAAACCCTACAGTAACCATTTTTATCTTTTAAAAATTACAAAAAAGTATTGGTCATTTACGACGCTATTTTAAACAATATATTATATTTTAGAAGATATTAGGAGTTTAAAATGCGGGAGCATAGGGCTTCTCCGTTCGTGCCGCGCTGTACGTCCGTCCCGGGCGGCAACGGCCGGCAGGAAAGGAGCAGGATTTTATAATTATATTGCATATAAAGATGTCCTGTAGTATATTTATTATAAATTGCTCGAATTAATTTCTTCTGTAGCACAAAAATAGTTTGAATGTCGGCAGCATTACCCTACAGTAGAATACCGTACGACATTATTCTATGAAAATAACTGAAGTAAACAAGTCGTGCCGTATCAACATCAGCCAACTCTCGAATTTTTCTTACTACGTACGCTGCTGAGCTGTCTACTCGATCCTCGAAAGGAACTTCCGACTGCGATGGGATCCTCCATAGACCCCTCACGTCGTTTTACACTATTTTACACTATTAAATACTCCTTAACTTCAATAAACCAAATTGTTTATGCTCAAAGTTATTGACTGCTGTAGAATATTTGCTAACAAACAAAAAAAAAAAAAAATATAATTCTTAAAGATCATAATCTAAAAGAACTTTCTGAACAACTGGTTTGAGACAGAGTTCAACAGTTTCTGTATAATTCAAAGATATATTTGACATGTCAGGTAAGTTACACATATTATTTTGTCAAGAAAAATATTAAATCAAAATAAAATTAAAAATGTATTGATTACTTTTATATTTGCAACATAAATGTAATTAAAATATCATCACATTAGGGCTGTGGAGTAAACACTCATGGACCGGTACAGGAATACTCAAAGCGTTGTATGTAGGTAGTGCAATGATCCATAGACAAATATCCATTCTGTTAAAAGTTAAATGTCGTTTGTTAATAAATACACTACATTTAATTAGGTTCAAGTTCTACTACAAATAGGTACGTACAAAATTGTTTTTTTTTACAGAAGCATTTTAACACATGGCGCCTGTTAGGAAATATTTTGGATAAATATACATATATACAAATGTTAATTCTACTTTATTAAGTGCCTACGTAATATTTAACATACATTATTCGACAGTATACTTAACCAACCCTACTATAAAGGGTGTGAGGGACATCGTAACGAATACTGAAATAGTGTATTCAGACCATAATTCGGAGTCGAAATTAATCATTGGAATTTTATGCAATCAGCTGTCAAAGGTAAAGGTCATTTCACGTAGGTATCACACAAAAGTAATAACTACATGTGTATTCCGTGTAAACAGTCTACGTTACGTGCAAATAATCTAAGTTGACGCCCGCAGGGGAGGGCCCGCGCGTCGCCTTCTGCTGTTTCATCAGTTATATCGCAGTTTTTAACGGTATTTATTAATTTATTTTCGGTGAAATGTTCTGTTTACACATCATTGTTGATATGTATAATACCAATTCTATCCAAAAAAAAAAGGGAAAATTACGAAAAAAAAAACATGATTCTGATTCGAAAATTCCAATGACTTTCGAATCAAATCAAGGTCTGAAAATATTTCAGTATTCGTTACGATGTCCCTTACACCCTGTATGTTAACGACACGCTCACATGAGTTGCATTACATTTTCCAATCATTAACTTCGTTAATTAATAACACAACATATAATGTATAATTTCATTAAACACTAAATATATACACATTTCGTCATTAGATACGCAAGTAGTAAGGAACCATTTTTGTTCAAAATTTGCAATAAAAATCAAAAGTGCCATTATAACATTACAATTATTAAAGATGAGGGCAGACAGCGGGACACTAACTATCTGCTCAGCTCAAGTTGTCCTTCCGTCCCGCCCGATGTCTGACCCAGCCTTTATATATACAGTACTGTATATATAAAGGCTGGGTCAGACACCGGGCGGGACGGAAGGGCTCACGATTATCGAACATTAAGACGAAAGCACACATCCAACAGCGCTGGATATTTTTGATATAGAAGTATATGTTACAGGGGTCTAATTATATCAGAGTAGATTTATGCAAGATTACCAATTAAAAGTTTCATAATATACCTAAGTACTCCGCCCGCCTTTAAACGCCACCAAATTATATGCTTTTGGTAAAATTATTTCAAAATTTTGAATCATTTTAAAAAAGGACTAGAAAAATTGTGTAATATATGATTTGATCGAGAGCATTTTTATTAGATCCTTTGAAAATTAATAACTTTTTTCTTTCCTTTTTAAATAGTTAAGACATCCTCGGTTTGAGGTTATTTTTAATTAATTCTGTTAATTTTAAACTCAGTATACAAATTCAAACACACAGGTGACACTATTTCAGGGTCTGACTTCAGAATGAACCACAAAGTATACCTTACCTCACTTAATTCTACATTGTAACGACTATTGCCTGCGTAACGATTTCATAGACAATACTCGCCTTATCCGGACACAGATTGCTCTCAACCCGTTCCGGGGGCATCATCTTACATCACTAAATACAAAATAAAGTTCACAACAGTTACTCTTAAGGATACACGTCTTCAACACTAGAAGTCTTCCTAGGGAGCTATTATTTACAGAGATTCGATACACAGCGCATTTACAGCATTTTGCGCCAATCACGTATTTATTTGTACAAAAGGGAGTTTCGTCATGGACGTTATACATGTGATCAATCACTTAAACCTAAGAGACGTTTTAACAAATATTTGCACGTAAAAATACGTGTATGTTCATTTTTCCTTTCTTAATTTGCGTGTCGTCATATCCTAATATTGTTTATGTGAATAGGTAAAAACCTAGAGTGAAGTTATGTCGTAATCGATAACAACGTTACACAATCAAAAGGCACGAAATATGCATTCGTTTGTCTATAGCTGCGTGAAGTGCGCGGGAATAATACTTTTACTCCTTTTTTCATTTTAGTTTTTTTGTAAATACAATTGAATTTAGATTTTTGACAGAATACTATAATTTACGTTTGCAGTTTAAGGAATTCATATTCGATCTACAACGATTACATCGTTAATTTACAACCAAGAGAGTTACCATAGTATATATTCCCAAAAGAGCGCTAGGCCCCGACGTGGGGGGGGGGGGCGGCTCAGAGATCGTCCCCGGAGGGCCCGGCGAGCGTGACGAGCTCTTCCTGCAGGTAGTCGGGGTTGTGGAGGACGTGCGCCACGAACTCGTCCACGACGCCGTAGTACTGGTCGAGGGGCGGGGGCTGCTCGCCGGCGGGGGTGGGGGCGGGGGGGGCGAGGTCGCGCAGCAGCGCGGGCGCGGCGCGCGGCAGCACGTAGCGCCGGTACGGGACCAGCTGCGGGACCACCTCGCCGCTCAGACCCTCGTACCTGCCGGACGTGGGTTACCTTAGTTATTACCTGCTCTATACCTAATACGAGTAGATATATATATATAGGAGATAGATGTAGAGACACGCAATAATAATTAAAATTTCCTTTCAAATAAAATTCATTTTGACATTAAATTAAGAGATTTCGGATAAAGTTACAGAGTACCGAGAACCGACCGTAAACCGAACGCCAGGGAACCCCTGTACCCTAGAAAGGAAATCTCTTGTACCCCGACGCACCTCAGGCCATCTACAGCGACTAGATAACCCCCTCGTGTGCGGGAACCCTCATGTTCCCTTTGTACTCCCGAAAGGCCGCCTCGCCGCCACCCCAGCCTGCTTCTACTAGGGTGATGGCCTCATCTGTCACCCCCAGGCTTGCGCTTATGAAAGGCTGAGGTCGTTCTGCGACCTCCGGCACCCGAGTCGTCTGCGGTACCTGGCTCGTTCCCGAGCCTTGCGGACCAGGAAAGTTTAAAGTCTCTCCTATTCCGCCAGGCTCCAAATGGCGAAGACGGAGCTTCGCCATTACCTTAGTAAGCATAACTTGCTCGTAGTAGGAGACGACAGAGTTCCACGCACTTTCGCTCCGCACCATGGCTGCAATCATGGTACCGAGCGAGAGAACCCCCACCCCGATAGCCGCCACGAGGCCACGCCTCTACTCAACCACGCCGGGCATTCTACCAGCGTATGGAGCGCTGTGTCCACGGTCCGGGTTCCGTAAGGACTCTCGAACCAATCCTCCGGTCTTACCGCCGCTTTAACGGCGTGCCCAAGTGAAAACCCCCTTGGCCTGCGCTTATGGAGGACGGAGGTCATTCTGCGACCTCCGGCGCCTGAGTCGTCTGCGGTACCTGGCCCGTTCCCGAGCCTGGGGGGCCGGGAGAGTTCTAAACCTCTCCCGATCCCGCTCCGCCATCTCAGCAAGCTCTGCCATCTCGCCAGCAAGCATAACTTGCTCGCAGAAGGAGACGACAGAGTTCCACGCGCCCTCGCTCCGCACGATAGCCGCAATTAGGTTATCGAGCGAGAGAACTCCCACTCCGCTGGCCGCCACGAGGTCTCGCCTCTGCTCCACCCACGCCGGGCACTCTGCCAGCCGTGTCTACGGTCCGACCATCGCAGTGGTGGCACTCAGGCGTTGGCTCCTTGCGGATCAGACACAGGTGATCCCCGAAACACCCTTTCCCAGTAATCACCTGCGTCAGTCGGTATGAGAGAGTCCCATGATGCCTCTCGAGCCAATTTTCCATAAAGGGTCTTACCGCCGCGATAACGGCGTGCCCGGTAGTGCCCGGCGTGCCATAAGCGCAGGCCTGGGGGTGACAGGTGAGGCCATCTGTCACCCGAGCAGAAGCAGGCCGGGGTGGCGGCGAGCACGTTATAAAGCGCGCGCGCCCTTCCGGGAGCACAGAGGGAACATGGGGGTTCCCACACGGGGGGGGTCGTCTACCCACCGTAGATGGCCCGAGGTACGTCGGGGCACCAGGGATTTCCTTTCTAGATTACACCTGGTTCCCCGACTACTGGTACCTGAGACCGCGTGCGGTTTTAGTCGGTTCGAGTCCGACATTGCCACCGGTAAGTGGTATCCGAGGGGATTTCCGCACAGAAAAAAAAAAAGGTGGAAACCCCCTTGGGCTGTTACCCCACAGGGATTGCAACGGGACGGTATGTCGGAATCAAACCAATTAAAACCACACGGTTTGCTACTAATATTTGAAAAAAGGAGAGAAATTCGGAAAAATTAGTTATTGAGACACCGGACCGATAGCGCCAGCACTACCTTCGGGTTAAACATTCTTATTTAGGTGATGTCCTGCATACACGGCGTTCGCCGCCTTACGGCTGGTTATTATGGCAGCTGGAGAGGAAAACTAGGCCCGTCACGCAAGAATGCGCATGAAGCGCTGGAAGGCGGGCGGACGATTGGCTCCGAGTGAAGGGCCTCCTCCCGGGTTCTCTCGACCGCCTCCTTATGCGAGATGACGTCTTCACAGAAGGAAGCGACAGCGGTAAAACATCTGTCGCTATCGTATGAGGATCGGTAGCAAAGAGATCCTCTCCGATGACTGCGGTGAGGGACTGACGTTGTGTCATCCGAGCGGAGCAAACCGTCAGCGTGTGCTGAGCCGAGGCCTCGCAGTCTCTCATCGTAGTCGCAGCGGTGACAGGCGGGACTCGATTCCCTCCTAGCGATTTTCCGAAGCAACCGTGTCCGGAAAGTACTCGTGTTAGTAGGAGGGAAAGGGTCCGGTGCTGTCGACCTGCCCACTCGATGATGACCGGTTGGTGCATCTCCACGGGGGCAAAACCAGTACGTGGAGCCTACGGCCGGGACGACCGACGAGCCACCGTGGCTCTTTAAGCGGTTTCAAGCCACTCACGTAAAGTTGAATAATCAAGAGGCTAGTATCGCAGAGCTAAAAATCGACAGCCGACACGTCCGAAAGCGACGCGTGTACAAATTCGATAGAAACTAGGGGTATCGAAGAAGTCATTGCTTCAGACCGAGTTCAGGCGAAGTTCAAAGTCGATAACGATTTACAGAATTTTAATACGGGTCAAATACGGTGTGAGATTTTATTTTGCGTTTCCCTGCGGAGACAGATTCCTATCTTTTAAGCTAAGCGGAAGAGTAGGGCGGTGGGTACTCACGTGGCGAGGTAGTACTTGTGGTAGAGGTGGTGAGCGGACACGTTCTCCGTCATGAGGCACAGCGCCAGCTGCAGCAGCTTGTCGCCCCAGTGGGGGCGCCGGTACATCGCGCCGCGGCCCAGCAGCGGCTCGCTCACTGCAACACGAGCGGCCTCCGTTAGCCTCGTCCGGAGACGATTACGGCGCCGAGGCGGGCGAAGAGTTAACGCACTTACATTGCATGGCGGGCTCCTTGAGGCGGGTGGAGTAGAGCGTTAGCAGCGCGGGCGACTGCAGCAGCAGCACCTTGGTGCGCGCGTGCTGCAGCACGGAGCGCAGCCACGCGCTCGACGCGGGCGCCGCCTGCGCCGTCACCGCCGCCGCGTATATGTCCAGCACCTGCGACACACACTCGGCCGCGTCAGCACGGACTTCGCTCGAAACCGTTCTTCCTCGCGACGTTATAAAAATATAATGCGTATTGAGATAAAGGGTCTGAGAATGTAAGCCAATAATAGATACTTGGCTCACAGCGAGCTCGTTTTTTTTTTCGTTCGTTTCGTTCGTTTTTCTCCGATCACAGACATTCTTTACCCTAACTTCCTCACCCTAACCGTTTTCCTACCTATGCTAATTGAGACACATCCGAACTGAATAGCGGAGATACTGTTTTCCTTGTTTCTATTTTGCTTCGATTGACTTACAGATTACCCCAATATAAAAAAGTGGATTCTTGCCAAAATTAAAAATAATATTTCCGTACATGTTCACGAGGAAATTGCTAAACCGTTATAATATAATAATTATTATGGATAAGGATAAGAGTGTTTCTGAGGAATCCCCACAAGGCGTTTGAATACAACCTTAAGGAAGTGTTCACTTTAACATATTATCATCATAGCGATATATACTGCGAACTATTTATACATAATAATTTCAGTTGACATTTTATTCAGCTCATTCGTGTCGACGGACTTTATACTTATTTATTTAGCGTTTAACGCAACGCACATTTTTTTTTTAATGATTACTACATATGCAATCTCAGCCCTTTTTCTAAACGAAATTCGAAAAAGAAGTATCATGCACTAAATAAAAATACAAGAAAGTATAAATGTAATATAAATAGTAATATCTTTACATAATATAAAATGAAGTTGCAAACTACGCAAGCGATTTTAATGCGGTTTTCACCAATAGAGAGAGTGTTTCAAGAGGCGGGTTTACATGTATAATCATGCATATTGAAGTAAAGAAAAACCGATAATTTCTAAAATTTATAATGTAAAAAAACATGTTTTTGTGGGCTTACATTACAAAAGCTGGCTAAACCTTACGAGATAACCAAAATATTGTACTACAGAATTGTATATGTCAAAAAATCTACAAAAAAGTCCGTGATGGTATATATCTTCCGCCTAAGAATAGATCACAGTACCCATTTTTATCTTTTACGTATTACTAAAAGTAAATTGTAAATTACGAAGTTATTTTAAACAATACATTATTATTCCTCATCCAAATAAATACGTTATATAGGAAGCACATTTTATGTAGAATAAATCATGTCATTAAAATGAATATCTTGGTAGATTTCAGAAATTTAGAATGCGGGGGCAAAGCGGCCGTCACGGAGCGGGCCTATAAATATTGCATATAAAGATGTCGTGTAGTCCTATCATAAAAACAGTTTAATTAATAACTCCACACTGACACCGCATTAGTAGTATCTACTTTGCACCCGTGCGAAACCGTGGCGGTGCGCTAAGCAATTTTTTTTAAATTCTACAGCCAAAGCGATAAAAAGGAGGTTTAAGTATATTAGTTACCCTCTGGTTACAACTACTATAAATTATTAAAGACTGGCTGATACCCGCGACTTCGTTCGCGTGAAATTTGAAAAGCGCTACCTTAGTGGGTTCGAATCCCGATTCTCATTTCTCATCAATGCAACCACAATGTGCCACAGCGAAGCCTGGCAGGGTACAGATAGTATTATATAAATACCACACATGAAAGTCTAGTCTAAAATAATTAATATTCTCATGCTTGATGATTACAAAATAACCACGAACCAGCCAACTGTAAATTGATACATAAAGAAATTTCACATCCAAATATTAACATTCTAAACGTTTTTAATACTAGTGTTCGTCCAAATATTTCAATATTTTTTCTAAAATAATATTAAAATAAAATACTTTAAAAAGCAAGATTAACTTAGTAATCATCATCGACAGCCTTTAATAGTCCACTGCTGGACATAGGCCTCTCCTTAGAAAGGAGGTTTTGGCCTACTATACCACGCTGGCCAGACGGGTTGGTATAGTGTTTGTGTCAAGTTTTAATTATTTTTGCAGTGCTGGTGTCCTGCGTTGTTTTGCGCCCTTAGTCGGCTCTTACGACACCCAAGGGATGAATTGGGGTAGTGATATTCCGTATTCTTAATCCGTCAATACACGGGCATTAACACACATTAACTTATTTTAAAATCATTATTCTAACATAAAGCATCGCGTGTCAAAAATAAGAAGAAATGGTTAAAATTTAGTTTTAAATATTATTCTGGGTTGACTGGCTTTCCTCTTCCGAAAAGTATTTAGATATAAAATTACAAACGGGAAAACCTTAAAAACCAAAGCGATCCTAAATTTGCTTTTTTTTTGTGGTCAAGACATTTATGTTAACGCATGTTTTTTATTTTGAGTTTGGATTATATGATGCTCATAAACAATAATTTTATTTCCAAAACATACAGGTTTACAGAAGTTAAGCAGAGACCCATATGCTGACGGAAAATCCCGTAATCTGAATAATATTAATCTCTGTATTATAATCATCAACAGCCTTAATTTGTCTACTGCTGGACATAGGCCTCTCCTTAGAAAGGAGGTTTTGGCCTACTATACCACGCTGGCCAGACGAGTTGGTATAGGGATTGTTTCAAGTTTTCCTTCTCTTTGCAATGCTGTTGTCCTGCGTAGTTTGTTCCCTTAGTCGGCTCATACGACACCTACTGGTTGAATGGGGGGAGGGGGGGGTGTTTGTTTTTTTTTGCCATATTCTTACTACTTACTCCATATTCGTCACCACACGGATTTAACTGTATTATATTAATTTGACATATCTCAAACGCTCATCCGATACCAAAATAGGTAGCACATACACTATAGTAACCAAACCACTGATGAACATATTTATAGTGATAAATACATACATTATAGATAAACTAGCTGAGCCCCGCGGTGCTACCTGCGGCTGTTGTTATACATCCTACGGGAACACTACATGTTTTGAGTTAAAAATTGCCTATTCCACACTATTATCTGTCCCTGTATCAAATTTCATTTAGATCCATTCAGCCGTTTTTGCGTAAAAGAGTAACAAGAAGAGTTTAAAACATTCTTTAAATCATAGGAAAGACAGACAGACACACTTCAGCATTTATAATATTAGTATGGACACATAGTATTACACCCAGACAGAAAGAATGGTAGTGTTTATCACAAAATTATTTGTTATGGATGTGAATCGAACCCAGCAAGTTATTAATCACTAGATGAACAGACGATTCAATAATAATGAATACCATATAAATTATTTCAAAAACGCAAACAGTCGTGATATAACGTCTTATTTGAGGATCTGTTAATCGGCTTTAACCTACCTTAAGTGAATTGTAATCCTACAAAAAACCCCTAGCAATACATTTAAATGCCTTGTTTTAGTCTGCAACGGCAAGTTGACCTTAATGAGATATAAAATTGAACCGGTTCACTATTCAAAAGAGTTAATGTCCATGTTTGAGCCATACTTTGTAATCGGTCGGCATTCGACACCACGGCCCGCATAGCCTGTCAAGCTAGATACGACGCAGTATCGACAACACTTTCACTATATCTAAGATACACACACGCGTTGGATAATACTGACACATTTTTGTTCCATTTGAGTGATTACATATAAAGTGCCTTGCCTAAGTATGATTTTGGTTTGGAACCATAAGCATGATACAATTACTAATGGTTCTTAGAAGATTGTTATGTTTGAGGCTACTGTCCTGCTCTTAAAGGTCACAGCGTGATGTGTGTGTCACACATGGCCTTCCCTAATTGACATTTAAATCAAAACAAAACGATTAAATATAATCTAGATCTTAAATTTAACGCATTTACATAAACGGTTCGGCTTTACATTTTTTTATTAATAACTGTATGGAACTAATTGTAAGGTACGATAACACAAAATATCTATTCTTGTAACTTATATGAAATCCTATCTTTCACTGAACATTTTAAATGAAAATATGTATATAATGGAACTCGTATCATTCCTAGCTAGTTTACGAACATGTTCAAACAACTTTATTCCAAGACATATCAGATACTGGTTCATACATGCAAATATACATCTACAAGCGCATAACTTTGAACAGGTCTATGGCATATATAGGTTGGTGCTCTACACAAATAAATAATCATAATATGTATTGTAGAAACAAGTTGTAACTGGTTTGTAACACTTGTTCCATTCTACTCCAACTTATGGTATTTGGCTTAGGCCTCAAACAGTTTGCTTGCGTTTTAGGGTACTGGTTTTTATCTTTTTTAATAATAAGATGTCAAATATAAATTGTCAATTCTGTGTTTATGTGTGTTTTGAATATTTATAAAATGCGATAGCAGATGTAACATAGTCGTGAGGCATTCGGTCTTTATTTTAACAGTAGCAATTATTTATGTTTGTCAAGTGAGCTAGGGATTCGATAGTCGTATATGAGTAGTACCTACATCATCAATGACAAGGTTATTACATTACTTATTTTTTCAAGTTAAATTTATAATATACGCATACGTTTGATGGTTCCACATTAGCTGGTTTTGACCTGTCTATCAATGTAGGTTTTTCTCTGTAGGTCTATTTTTTTGTGATGTAGGTTGCCTAAAACTGCATGTTTCAAATAAATTAAGTACTAAGATTTATATTGAATCCATTTTTAAGGGTGGAATTAATAATATATTAAAGGGCAGAAAAATAAAAATGATAAATTCCTTGACAAAAACCACGTAAAAGTAATGGACACCTCAGCCAAAAAGTTAATAACCAAAAAATATACATGGTATAGATGGTAATCCACTTTGAGATATACGTGGGTTCCATTCTACAATCACCATTATCTTATCACCTTTTTACCCTTTTCCCAAATCTATTTGGAGTCGGCGCAATGAGTTTTCTTCTCCCATTCTCCTCTATCACTTGCCACTTTCCTGCTTACTAGACATATCCTCTTTCACGTAGTCTTATATCCGTCAACGTCCATACATAAAACATTCTTCACCTCAGTTCTACGCATCACATACAGACCAACAGATTATGCTGGTATGGACTACCAAGATAGCCTGTTGCTCTTGCTATTCTGTTCTTATTCCATCTTTTCCATCAACGATTAATTCCAATATATATATATATATATATCTACAAAGATAACACCGAATTCTTTCCAGTTCTCCATTACCAAAGTTGAAGGGACCCATTAAAGTCAGACAGTATTGTAATGATTTTATGACTTAATAACATTTTTGGTGTCAACTTTCGTTTTTATAGCCTCGTTACGCATGGAGATATAACAACTTATGTTACAATTTTACTACCTTCAGAAATATTTCCAATGATGTGATGATAAGAGATGAAGGAAGGGAGCTTCAGTCTTTGATAGTGATCAGACACCTATAGATTTAGGATAAGGTTTTGCTGCGAATTCTATTGTTACGAAAACGAATAAAAAATAATAATAGTTTAAAAAAAAAACACAAAACACGCTTTTTATAGAATTCCAAACTAAAAATAGAAAATATTTTTTAATAAATTTGAAAAAAAGCGTGGGGTGCTTTTTACTATTGACAACAGGCATCCAACGCTTTTTTTTTTCAAGTTAGTGTTTTGTCATCGGTCCTCGATATATCAACAAAGTTTGAACGAATTCTGACCGTTTAAAGTCAGTCAAAATCACGCCCAAAGGAGTCGGTTACAAACAGACATACAGATGAAGCTAATAAAAAGCGTGTAAAAAGTATGTAAGCGTGTGTCTCACCTGTCCAGTTATGGTTTGCTGTAGGAGATCCTTGAGAGCATCAACGGCTCGCTGGCCATGTTCTCCCTCTCTGGCGTACAGAAGCAGTATGTTGTATTCGGTCGGCCCCTCGTATACTACACGGGCCGGTTCAGATTCTCTGTCGAAAAACGAATTAAGAGCGTTATTCAGGAACAAGGTTAAATTCAATACATATAACATAATAATTTACATAATACATTAGAAAAATAATCCTCTTTCTGGCGCATTCGGGTAAAAAGTACACAAAGAGAGTACAGAATTGAGGAACGGCGCTGACCGACGCACGTCACGGCGCGGTAAACGATTTTATTACCTTCGTTTGCGTGGAATTTTAAAAGCCCTGCTTTAGTGGGTTCGATTCCCGGACTGGGCAAAATTTTAAAGGGTTTTCTAAGGGGAAAAATAGCCTCAGCTACTCCTTATATAGACAGATAGCTGGTCGTAAAATAATATCAAACTCGGTCGAGCCATTTAGGAGATTACCAGGAAAAAATAGACAGACAGACAGACAAAAAAATTAAACTGGTTTTTAGGCATAGGTATCGTGCAAATAACCGTGTAAGCATGAAAAAACGGCAGCTTAAATAATTTGAAATAATGTTTAAAAGGGGTGTAGTGAGTTGAGGGGCTTGGCTTTCTGCGGGATGCCAAGATATGACGTCCACCAAAGCGTCTTTAGGGAACACCCTAACATGCCACGACGTCAGTCAGGGCCGGCCCTTAATGTAATGCGCATGCGCAATTTTAACATATGTTATGGTTACGTAACATATGCTATATTATCTATGATTATTATTGTTAATTTCGTGACGTCGTACCTACGTTCAATAAATTTATTCAATATAAAATTATTGTAATTCAAATCAGTCAAACTAAAGGTTATCTGTAAGAAATAAAAACGATAAGACCGCTATTTGTACGATAATTTCTTCTTTTTTATATTGTAAACAGATGGGTGATAAAAAGAATGTAAGAATAGTATTGGATTATTATTTAGTATAAGATTTTGCCGCAGCTTCGCTATGAAGTTGTATTTGCTCTGTCGTGGAAACATTTAATTTTTATCTAGATAAAAGTAACGTGACAACATGTTTGTATACAATGTTGTGATGACCAGTTGAGTGTTAAGTTGTGACAGCGTAACAAACAAACAGACTAAATTTATTTAAAACTAGCACTTCACTTCCTTCGCTGTATTACCTGTGTTTTTAGTAGTATCCGTGTTCAGTTTCATACACTATTAATGATAAAATATTTTTTTCTTATTTTTTTTTCGGGGATCTTAATAGTTATTCAGCTATTGAAAGCTCCTGCTATCCAAAAGTTAAACATAAAAAACGGTCCAGCTGTTGTTGAGTTATAAGGCTGTAACTAACCCGTTTGTATAGGGCGGCAAACTGGTTTAGTTAGGATATCACCTATTATTAAATGGTTTACAAATTTACACTTAAAAAAATATAAATCAATTAAATAATAATAATATTTTCATACATCTCCTAAACTAGGCAGAGCCTGTACTATGGTAACCAGACTGCTGATAAATACACTTATATATTTCTAAATACATACATACTCGTATTACATACTCGTATCGTATTAGATAAAGTTAGATAAATACATTGGAGAACACTGTTTTTTTTTAAAAGACAGCTCCCGCACTAGGAAAGTATCCCGTGTCGCGGAGGACTTTTATACATGATACGGACACAAAGAACACCCAGACTTAGAACAACAATTTGTGGATCACACAAAGTGATGTCCCATGTGGGGATCGAACCCACAACACTTTAGCGCAGTAGGAAACGGCGAGGTGACCGCTTAAACCACTACGCCATCCGTGCAGTCAAATTATTTTCTTGTTTAATAAGTAGTAAATCTACTTTACTCTCAAGAATGGGGGGCATGGGATCTAAGTAACAAAGAATAGATTAGCAAGCTTTGCGGGTCAAGTTGTACACCTACATATATGACGATAACAGCCGACGTGACGAGCAGACGCAATACTTTATATAGATGATATGTTTTACGTCACGCCTACACTACATATATCGTAAGCAGATAAACACACTTTGTAATGATAATATTCAAGTAAATTGTTTAAAAAAAACATCATTTAGTTGTTATACTTTCTAACTGACCAAATTTCTCGACAAACAAACACAATTATGCAGTTACGCAGCAACAATAGTATTAAATATTTCCACTCCACTGTCTCTCCGAATCATTTTGATTGGAGGACTTGGGATAAAATATGGAGATTTCTAGACAACAGTGGAATGGACTTGTATGAGTCGTGATTATTTGTGTCGCCTATTAGCTTCGGCTATCTTTACACGGATATAATTAAACACTTATATTCATATTAACTAAAGTATTTAGATATCTGTAGACAGTGACCGATGGTTATGAGTTGTATGCACTTGCAGCCGATGCGATTAAAGTAACATAATATTCTGTTATCTTGTATTATCTATGGAATGTTAATCAGAAAGCATCAGACTTTTAAAATACTTTTTTTGTTTATGTCAAAGTACAGTGAACTTAGTCTCGAGAAATTTTTGCATATGTAGTGGTGTGTATATTACTCAGATCTTAGAGCGCGTTTCCACTATATCGTTCTGGCCTATACAAAAATGATTCGATATCCTAACATTACTATTTAATTTTATACTTATCCCTAGCAACACTCTGATTTTTGTTTTCAATAAAAACAAGTTTTTATTTTAAAGAGAAAGGTTTTGACTTTATAAAAAAAAAGGTGTGTGTGCGATTCACACACGATAGAAGTGAAACTTCAAAGAGGAGAGATTTTTTTTTCCTTTCATCTAGGTTTTTAAAACTCCGGGGGGTCTACGGGGCGGGGGGTCAAAATTTTTGTTATTTTTGGCATAGGACGCACCGTTTCCGAGATATTTCAATCTAAAGCAAAAAATCGTCACTTGATAGTGGAAAGTGGAAACACGCACAAAACCAGAATACTATACACTACTACAAACGCAAAAATTTCTCCAAGCTAATTTACCTGTAGAGTGATTAGAACCCGGGGTGATATTGTACATATACATGAATAATGTAAAATTGGCCCATCGGTTAGTGAGTCAGACTGCTTAGTTAGCGATAGTTGGAGGTCGTGGGTCGATTACCGACCAGGACAAATAATTGTATGGTGAGAACGATGGTTTATTCTGTCTGGATGTAATTTATCCATAATATGTATCTATTTAGACATACAAACTCAAATATTATTTATTGAGTAGGCCATGTTACAGTGCCCTTTCAAAAACGTCAGTTAGTACAACTGATAATGAAATTTATAAACAACGGGTCACTAGATATAAGGCAGATTTAGATATAGAAGAGGAGATACTAATAAAAGTAGGTATATTTATCAGCAGTCTGGTGAACATAGCACAGGCTCTGCCTAATTAAGGATCAAAGTGTATAAGACGTGTCAAGTTATTATTATTATAAAGTATTTTAGATAAGAACAATAAGAAAATATTATAAAACAAAGCATACATACGCGTATTTATTTTTAAACCTGTCCCTGTAGTTTCCACACAGGAAAATAGTTTTTCCGGTTGCCTCAGAACAAGTCAAAGATTTTGTTGTACATAGTATCTATAACTTTACCTGTTGTCCTGCTTATCCGGCTCCAGATAAGCTTGCAACATAAATATAAATTCATAGTTAGACATTAAAATAGCATAATTATTACATTTAAGTGAAAAGTTAAAGTAATAAACATAAAAACGGTACGTTCTGTAGAACGTCTGTATTAAAATAATAAATTCTGACATCAGAATTCACTGTAGAGCAATCTTATACCACAACGTTTGGTTACTTTTAGAATTTATATTAAATAAATTATCTACTGTAGGCGATAAACTTCTCCCTAATTACCAAAATTATGCAAAAATCTGGACTTTTAGATCTGGATTGTTTTGCAAAACTAATATAGTACGTATGTATACAACTTACTATTCTTTCACACAGCTGTTAAGGTTTAAAAAAATTGCAATATATCCTAAGGGGCTGCATTCTTATATGAAAATCTGTCTTCAGCTGTTTGTACGCAAATACTTTAATGTACGAGCTTTCAAAATGTTCTATAGTTTCGTAACACGGCGTCGCCTGTTTTACGTGGTACAAAACTGTGTTGGCTAAAATTTGTAACGTGTTATGAAAATGTAATTGCAAGGCTATCTACACTTCTCAAGGAAAGATTACAATATATAGTTACTAGCTGCGCCACGCGGTACTACCCGCGGTTGCTGTTGTACATCGCACGAGAACACTACAGTTTTTCGTAATGAAAATAGCCTATTTTACACTATAGTCTATATCTGGACCAAATTTCATCCAGATGCGTTTTGCGTGACAGAGTAACAAACATCCATACAAACTTGATACTATAATCTACCTCTGTTTCCAATTTCATCTAAATCGGTTTAGCGGTTTAAGCGTGAAGAGGTCACAGACAGACACACTTTCGCATTTATAATATTAAGACGAATGTCTGTTCATAAAACTTAGAAAAAATAGAGGAAAAAGCCAGATGAACAATCATCTCCGAGTCTGTAAACAGTCTTAATACCAAATAAATCACCATATTTTCCTGTTACATTAAGGTTAAGGTTGGGGTTAGGTTATCATAAGAAAATCAATATCATTCGTGTGCGACTGTATCGTATATTCATCTATTGGTTTAACATTTAAATCTCCCTGAGCTACTACAAAGCGTGTTCATTATTTTCTAACAGGCCATAGACTAATATGTGGGTTTCCGCTTCGTGCCGTGCAATATACATATGTATGCTTGAATATGTCTGGTCGTTTTTATATACTAGTGATGGCATAAAATCACAATCACATGTATTAAATCATATGATTTATTAATCATATATTCACACATGTTTATTATTATAATTACGCTAGCGCTAGACTTGCGAGAGGTCAAATTCTAAAAAAAAAGGTCAGGAAATCTTTGATCAAAAGAATATTGATTGATTTAATGGCATTTTTCTTATCTGTGACCAAATCACATATGCGAAATCGCTGTGACTAAAACCCTATCCTTTCATTAAATGAATATGATATAAAAATAGCAATAATTGCCATATCTACTATGTACGTACATGTTTTAACAAAAAACTTAGTATTTCAATGTCTTTATCTAGTCTAGAATCTACATCTATCTACAAAGATCTACATAACAAGCTATGCTTAGTTTAGTGCGAGTGTCGTGTACTATGTGATGAAATATTTGTGTATATACTCTGTCCATTGTTTATTTCTCCTTTTTTTTTTAAAGACATCGCCCGCATTAGGAATATATATTCTGTGTCGCGGAGGACTTAACAAACATATGTACATTGACGGGCCTGTTGGTCTAGTGGTTAGTGGCCCTGACTGCTAAGCCGGAGGTCGCGTGTTCGATTCCCACCCAGGACAAATATTGTGTAATGAGCACGGTCATTTGTTCTGTGTCTGGGTGTAATTTATCTATAATATGTATTTATTTAAAAATATATGACTATGTTTATCATCAGTCTGGTTACCGTAGTACAGGCTCTGCCTAGTTTGGGATCAGACGGCCGTGTGTGAGATGTGTAAAGTTATTATTATTATTATTATACATACACAAAGAACACCCAGACTCAGAACAACAATTTATGGGTCGCATCAAGTGGTATCCCATATGGTAATCGTACCCACAACACTCAGCGCAGTAGGAGGCGGCGTGGCAACCGCTTCAACCATTACGCCATCCGTGCAGTGAACAATTTGATAGTAACTTGAGAACGTAACGATTAATGATAAAAACAAATATTTAAATGTTAGATAACTAAAGATTGGAAAACGTCCGTTTATAACGATTATACACAATGTAGACAGGTAACAGATAATCAACAATATACATTATGATTTCATTATACAAATATTTTTAGTACAAATATTTAATACAAAGTCTGAAAGTTTGAAGGTACACGTATAACGATTAAGAAATACCCCCATTTATTACATCACAATGCGCGTGCGCATCGGACAAGGTAAAAGATAAGGTTAATTAAGAGGAACTTGCTTTAGACTGTCACTGATAGCAATGTCATGAGTCAATTATATATACGTCATTCTTATTGTTTTGGCAATTTTACGACATTTATTTATTTATTTAATAGTTCCTTGAAGAAACCGGTGTTATCGTGAGTAACCGCTGATTAGTTCGTAATTTATTGATTAAATAACAATAAAAAGCTTCCACAGATACACAATAAACATTCTACTTAAGTTACATTCTAATAAAATGATTAAAGATGTAAATAGATAAAGACAAATGAATACACATGCAAAGCCAAGAGTCTCAGCTTACACTGCAGTAGTGCGGGCAATACTATCAGCAAATCTGACGGTTAAATAAGATCTAGCACTACCAGTACTTGTACTAAAAAGATCAAAACCACTGTCAATATTTAGTTTATTTAACTCAGTGAAAAATCTAGGCAGGTAGCTAATTTTTCTGAAGTTGTGACTCGACGGAAGATAAAGTAAAGAGTTGTCACGCAACCTTCTAAATTAATAATTATTTTATTTCGGACATTAGGTCCACTACGCCATCTAGTTTCAAACTAAGCAGATGTACTATGAAAGCTAGATTGACTGGTAGAAACCTTATATACTTTTTTTGTGATGTATTTACAGAAAAAAAGTACATATTATACATAGAAAACGCCCAAACCCCGAAACAAATATTTGCGGATCATACAAACATTAAGTCCGACCCGGGAATCGAAACCCGAGACTTCAGCACAGCAGTCGCATACGTTACCACTGTACCACCGAGGTAGTCTCCTTAGATGGATTTGTCATTTTAGTTTTACGTAATATTCATATTAATCGTTAAGTATACGAGTATATGACAATAAATTCGACATCAGGAAGGTTAATATTTTTGGTAATATTTAGTTATCATTTTTTTAAATCAACGTAATACTTAAAAATTAAAATAGAGTCATTCTTAATCAATTTTTTGGCCGTCACTGAACGGCTATCAACCGAACCGTCAAAAAGAAATGAACGAAGGACAGAGTGTACGAAGTACGAGTGTAAACATATTAAAGGCTAATAGAAGGCGGTGCGTACCTGGCGCCGAGCCAGGCGGCGATGACGCGCTTGTGGTAGTCCCTGGAGCGGAGCGCGCGGCGCAGCGCCACGCTCAGCAGCAGCGCCGCCGCGCCCACCAGCGCGCCGCCCAGTGCCCACCACGCGGCGCGCCCCACCCCCACCACCACCACCGGCGGCCGCGCAGAGGTCCGACCTGCCGCGAATATTTTATTTACGTTACCTCTATTTCCTTCAATTTATTGATTCTGTTTGCATATAATTCGTATACAGGGTGTCCCAGAAAGGATGGATAATCCTGGAGCGCTTAATAGTACAGCTATCTGGCGTACAAAAAAAATACCCCAAAAAAAACAAGTGGTGCCCAAATTATGAAGTTTTTTAAAAAAAATACTTTTTTGTTGTCCTTACTGTACTTACATGTACACCACGGCCGCAAATTAATGAAATTTGTTGCATTTTTAACCGACTTCAAAAAAAGGAGGAGGTTCTCAATTCGACTGTATTTTTTTTTTTTTTTTTTTTTTTGTATATTTGTTACGCGATTACTCCGGCAATTATAAGCCGATTTGAATAATTATTTTTTTATTTGGTAGGTCATACGTCAGAGGTGGTCCCATTGTCACCAGGTCAGGATCTGATGATGGGATCCTGGGGAAATCTAGGGAAACCCTCAAATTTTGTAGGCATATACACTGTTTATCAGAAATTATCTTAATCTATGTAGATTTTTGCATCTAATGGTCACCATCTGATGTTGCTGAGCTGATGATGAAGCTGATGATGAATGGTTTAGGAGTATGGGATCTCTGTAACAAAATTATGTAATACCATCGAATTTGAATGTGTTTGAGTCTAATTAATAGGGACTCCGATCCTATGTGATATTCAGGGTCTGATGATGGAGACGGTAAATAGCCATGGGAACTCTGTAATAAAATAAAGCAATTCCGCCGTGTTTGTGCTCATTTGATTCGTCTCGACTATGAGCTTCATGCTAGTCGATTTTTAACCAACATCAAAAAAGGAGGGTTTTTGATTCGACAGTGTTTTCTTTTTAACCGACTTCTAAAACACAAAAGAGGAGGTTCTCAATTCGTCTGTATTTTTTTTTTATGTATGTTTGTTACGCGATTTCTCCGTCAATTGTGGACCGAATTCAAAATTCTTTTTGTAATCGAAAGGGTATGCTCCCGAATTGGTCCCATTACCATCAATTCAGGATCTGATGATGGGATCCTAGAGAAATCGAGGGAAACCCTCACAATTATTGGGAATTTGACAGCCCCGACAACGTGTTTTAGCTACGAGTATTTCTTTAAAACCATGGCAACCGTCAGAGACTGCGCGATGTGATGCGCAGAGAACTTGCAGTATTTATGTCACCACAGTAATTTTCGTTGTATTAATAAGAAGAAAAGGTTGAAATTTTGTATTTTATCTTGTTAAAATAATTCGGATAGACGTTTTGTTGCTATGGATGGCATCGCATTTCGTTTGTAAGTAATTTTATACTTAATTTATTAAAATAGTTCTGGAAAAAACTCTTAAATTTTTTGTGGGTCAACTAGGTTAATTTCTAACATACCAGTATTAACCCTTTCAGTTGGAACTCCTTCTATAAAATATTGAGCATATTTGTTGAGTAGTCTCACTAAAGCTTCCCTATCTTCACCTTCGAGGTCAGTGTCAATTGAATCGGAAGTTATTTTGTTCGGTTGCAACTCACAAGAATTTGACTGTTTCTTAGAAAAGAATTTAAGCTGATCTTGATCAGTTTGGACGCCAATGTAGGAGAGGCCTATGTCCAGCAGTAATTTAATATAATATTTAATATAATCTAACAAACTACAGTTTGTTACTATACATTACGGTACGTAGTGTTTTAAATATCGTACTTATCTACTCATTACAAACATATCCTACACTAAAAATGGTAAAATAAACCCTTTTAAAAAAAAAGTTGAACCGACTTCAAAAAACACCGACAAAGAGCACTAAAAATTAAAAAATAATTACAAATCTAAGTAAAAAACTATAATAAGTACCCTCAATGTAACAGGTAACATTATAATACCAATAGTCCCTTCTAGTCTGTTTGAAGTCGGTGCCAAGCTCGATGCACAATAAGTAAAACTGGTCTATGTCAGCTTTATATTAGCACAATGAAAAATTAAGAATTCAAAATAATTCTAATGAAACATCGAAGATTTTGTTAATTAATAAAGACCAACCAGATCAATTACGAGCGCAAACGTATCAACTCCTTATTAAAGCATTCAAAATAATAATATAATTGGAGATGTGCGTCCACTTTAGCTCGTTCAACTTGTTTTGCGCAGCATGAAGACTGTTGCAGCTGCCGCGCTACATTCTATCAAGCACCTATTTGGCTTGGCACCGACTTCAAACCGACTAGAAGGGACTATTGGTATTATAATGTTACCTGTTACATTGAGGGTACTTATTATAGTTTTTTACTTAGATTTGTAATTATTTTTTAATTTTTAGTGCTCTTTGTCGGTGTTTTTTGAAGTCGGTTCAACTTTTTTTTTAAAAGGGTTTATTAGCGTTATCTTATTCCTCACAAACGATCTTATTAGAAATGCAGTAAATAGTATGAGTAACTATTATACTTTTTTGGGAAAAAATATCAACTTGAATTTTTACCATGAAATTTGACCAAAAAAAAATTATGACAAAATTTGAGAGCCTTTTGTGAAAAAAAAAAATGTATGAAAACCTAAGGGGGCCAACTATTAAAAAAAAAAATGCGCAGTTAATGCAGTGGTAAATTGTTATTTAGATGCAAAAAGAGTAAATTCGATTGAATAAATCTTGTCTTAAATTGTAATAATAAAAAGCTTTAAGTTGTAGATAAATTGATCTTTATTTTATCTTTTTTATAAAAGGTGTTCGAATTGTCTGCCACCAACTCGGATACAAGCTCGACATCTTCTGATAAATGCTCTTTTAAGAAGTCGTGCGTAGCGCCGTTCAGTTATTTTTGAAGCAGCCTCCTGAACACGACTGCGTAATTCCTCCAAACTTGAAATGGGCTTAAAGTACACCTGTTCTTTGAGGCAGCCCCAGTAAAAAAAGTCTAGTGGATTTAAGTCCGGGGATCGCAGAGGCTACAAAATAGGACTCAAACGACCAATTATCATTATTATTATCATTATTATTTGCAGCATAATGTGCAGGACAACCATCATTTTGTAGCCAGTGGGATTGCCTCACCTCCTCAGGTACCTCTTCTATGAAATTTGGCAGATCATTTTGTAGAAAATGTTAATAACTTTGGCCAGATAAGTTTCCGGACAGTTCAAATGGACCAATGATTTTTCCGTTTAAAATACCAGTCCAATAATTTATTTTGAACTGGTATTGCGATTTTTCTTCTCGCATTAGATGCGGATTCGAGAGTTGCCGGCTGTGCAGATTATGCATGTTGAAATATCCATCTTTTTTAAGAGTGGATTCATCGCTCCACAGAATGTTGTCAAAGAATTGTGGATCTTGTTCTATTTTTGCAAGCATTTGTCGACAAAAAAACAATCTTGCGTTGTAATCTCTCGGCTTGAAGAGCTTGAACCCGTCTAATGTGGTAGGTATGAATTATTTTTTTTCAGTACACGGTGCACGGTCCTCTTCGAGATTCCAGTACGTCCTGCTATTGCTCTAACGCAACAAATTTAATTAATTTGCGGCCGTGGTGTACATGTAAGTACAGTAAGGACAACAAAAAAGTTTTTTTTTTTTTTTAACTTCTTAATTTGGGCACCAAGTGTTTTTTTTTTTTGGGTATTTTTTTTTGTACGCCAGATAGCTGTACTATTAAGCGCTCCAGGATTATCCATTCTTTCTGGGACACCCTGTATATGGAAATTAACATCACGCTATCTTTTAAAAACAACTATCGCAAAATTTAATCTTTTTCTACAGTATAACCGATACCGAGATGTCAGGTCACCTGAAGGTAATAAAAGGAGAAATGCTCAAGAATGCCCATCGTCACAAATGCATTGACGGGCTTCGAGTGTCCCCCAGTTATAGGTGAGAGGAAGCAAATATATTCACTTAATGACGCAACCAAAAAGCTTATTACGTATGCCTCACTCAAGGTATCATAAATATTATAACTAGAGATGCCACGAATAGCGATTTGACCGAATACCAAATATTCAGCGAGTCTTTTGGCCAAAGCGCCGAATATTCGGCAAAACTTTGCCTTTCGCGGGTTAAAACCTGAATCAGTAAAGTTGTCAGTAACGCAAAAAAAATCCTAGTCTTAGAGAATTTGATAAAATTAACTTATCATCTCATGGAAGCAGTATATACAGTGAGCGGGTATTTTCCCAAGCAGGTATAAATTTTGAGGAAAAGCGCGATCGTTTCCTATCTACAAATGCTAAAAAAGTTTTAATGATTAATATGATAAGTTATTGGTAAAATGAAAATCTTTGTAAGTAATACTATATATTCTTTTTTTCGTTATTCGGTATTCGAAGTTTAGCCGAATAGTGCCGGATGTTCGGCCGAATACCGAATAGTTGCCGAATATTCGTGGCATCTCTAATTATAACGCACTAATAAAGCCGTATTTTGTATTGTAGCTAGAGTTGAATAACTTTAGCCTTAGCCATCTCTCGTTAATGAAAATTGAAAAAATCTACAAAATACTTACAAAATTTATATGAAATTTCAGTTTGCGAGTTGAGTACAGGATACCAGGGTGCTTCGAACCTCAAGAAAGCTATGTAACAGCCGGGGGGAAGTACCAGGTCGCAAATTAATTGGTTTGTATCTGACACTTTACAGCTTCCAGGCGCCGGGATGAGGTATTCCTTGTACTGTTCACACAACAACAACTTTTAAATGTTATACAAACCTATATCTATATTATCTTGACGCTAATTAAGACAATGATGATGAATATGTCGATGCTACCGTGAGGCCCGAAAAAAATTACGACAACAGTTTTATCTTAATCAAATTTGCAAAAAAAGAACGATTGCCTACTACGTAGCTAAAGTTATGATATTATTCTCAAAAATTAAAGGTCCCGCATTTAAGAAAAAACCAGGCAAAACCTACTCCTTTGTGTTTCCTAACATTGAGGGAAACACATAGAGTTGGCATTTCTGATGTCACATTGGTTCTTCCTAATCCGGAATCTCTAGGCGCTTCTTCAGCTAGGACCTCTAAATTATTCACATTTCCTATTGATTTCACACAATACAATGTGCAATAATTAATTATTAAGACTTAGTTTATCTTCTAATTATGTCTGATACACCAAATAACTACACTATTGATCTCTTATTAACTAATTAGGATTAACAATTCGTGTAGTCTGCACCATGTTGTGTTCTTTCTACTGATCGATTTCTTTTTCTCAGAAATGAATATTTTTTGTTGATAAAAAGTTTTGTCATTTAGTTTATTACAACGTTGCTATTTTTAATGTCAATTAACAAGAGTTTTGAAAAGTACTTTGCTATTTTATTTAACCTGTTAGGTACAGGTTAAATAAAATTACCTACCAACCTATCGCTCGATGTTCCCCTACCTATGTACGAATGTACCCCTATACTGAGGTAGATTCGGACATTAGACAGCTTTTACTAAAATACATTTCATTCATTCATTTATTTTAAAAAATAATGACTCCATACATTTAAATTAGGAAGCTGAATTTATGTAATTTGTTATAAAAACCGATTAAGCTATTTATCTTAAAGCAGAATTTAAAAAATCTATGTAAAGTGTACGAATGGTGCCAATCTTCCCCTAATAGCTTTTGCCCGCAGCTCCGCAGGCGTGTATGTCGGCTATCGAGGTGAAGCTAGCCTCAAGTTCTTCAGTTCTTTAAATTTCAATGGAATCTAACGGGAAGAATACCCTCTCAAACAAAATTTAACCAGATTGTAAGTGACACTAAAGGTCTGACAAAAAAAAAATACAGCAGGATTGCGAAATCTCTGTTTTTTAAAGTTGATTCAAAATAAATCTGCTAAAGTGAATGGTAATTCAAAAAAATAGATGTTTGCCTAGTACACAATAACTAAATTGTGAACACAACTTTTAAACTGGTGGATAAAGATTTAATAAAACAATCTGCTTACATTGTCCTCATCACCCTGCTTCCGTTTAACTAGAACTGAATAATTGTGGGGTATTGGCATAGCGTAGATCCATCTTATAGACACATCTTTGCTGTAAAATGAAGAATAAAATTTACTTAATTGCAAGTATATTATTATGTAAGCCATTGCTTTTATCAGATATTCTAGTTTTTAAACTCTTGTTATATTAAAATGGGATACCATAATAGAAAACTATGGTTAAAAATTAATAACAGCAACCCTTACAATTACTAAAGCATTCTGTGGACCAGATATGGGGTTCCTTCTGTTGTGTTGCTTTATATTTTATTGGCCAATTAACTTCTTTGCTAATTCAGTCAGACACTTTTAAAAATGATTTTATTGATTCATTCTGTCTTTCTAAAATGTAGGTATATGTAAAAAAAGCTGCTAAATAAAAGGGACACTACAAAAATAACTTACTCCTTAGGAATATTGATAACCTTTGGTGTGCTTTTCCTAAACATGTCAATCGTCAGGTTATTTTGTACAGGAAAGAAACTGTCATCTATTTTATGTGTTTTCTTGTCAGGCTTAAATTCACTGCGAATGCTGTAGCATGCAGCAAATACAACATCAAAGTTCACAATGTAACATACCTGCAATTTTCAAATTATTCTTGATTACATATGGACATACATATACTAGACTTGGTCTTTAACATCAATGCAATTTCAACAAATTGTTGTAGATCAGCACATCACCAGACCCAGGGTTGGTGAAGTGGTATGACAGACTCAAGGCAACTAAAACCACAAGATGTTCCGTGACAAGTGCTCCTATTGCAGGGGACCCAGTATACCCTGAAAAGGTCTTTTTTAATCATTTTTATTTTGTATTAAGGAGGTATGTTTGTGTTTGTGTAAATATAAGAATACTGATGCACATTACTAATTAAAATGCATTTTTATCTTTTTTACTTTACTATTTTACTTGTGTATTAAATAAAATAAATTTTAAACAGTTATTCTACACAAAAATTTGACATACATCCATAATTCCACATTTAATATAATAAATTAATTCTTTTGTGTCAGCAGTTATACCATGTAATAAAAGTAACATTAAGCTTGAAGAGTTACAATCAAATTTAAAAAAAGATCACCTTAATTTTACAACTTAGGGTTGACTTTTTTTTTTTTTGACGTCGGGGCACCAGGGACTTCCTTTCTAGGGTATACCTGGTTCCCTGGCTATTAGTACCCGAGACGGCGTGCGGTTGTAGTCGGTTCGAGTCCGACATGCCACCGATAGGTGGTATCCGAGGGGATTTCCGCACGAAAAAAAATATGAAATAAAAGGGGTGATATTTTTGACATAAAAAGTGTGAAGTATTTCAAATGGCCAGTATACAAAAATAATAGTATGCTTAACAAATAAAAAACGAATTTTCCAAATCAGTTCATTAATGGCAAAAATATTGGTACTAGAACCAAAATGTCCTCCTTTTTTTGAAGTAAGTTGAAAAGAGTAGAAGGAAATATTTTTGTCACTCCTATTTATATGATATTCATATAAATGAGTTATTAATTAATAAGCCTAAGTAATTAATAAGCCCCTCCGCTTATTAATTACTTAGGACTTGGAACTAAGACATACTATATTTGTTCTGATTGTACTGTGGATGTATTTTTATATCAATCTATAAGGTATGGTGGTAGCATCACTCAAGAGAATCTAAGCTACTCCAAATAATTCTTTTTTTAATATAGTAATGTGTAGACTACCCACATAAAAGTTTAAGAAATTAGAAATTAAGTAGAGCTAGAAGTTCAGAAGTGAGCAGGAAAATGGAATAATTCTAAAAAAGCTGTGTTTTTGTTAAATTATAAACAAGACAGGCTTTGTCAAGATGCCACTTGACAATGATGTGTGATTGTGATGTGACTGATGCTGAGGTGTTTCAAGTGAAAAGGAATGTTTTGTCATTATTTAAATTACTATTGCAACAAAATATAGCATCAGAAATAACATTGTTTTGATTCAAAATTACATTTCAATTTTTTTATACTTTAAGACTTTTATCAACCACCTTTAATAGTCCACTGCTGGACATAGACCTCTACTTAGAAAGGAGGTTTTAGCTTTCTAAACCACTTTGGACAGACGGGTTGGAATAGAGTTGTTGTTTCTCTTCTCTTTGCAGTGCTGTTGTCCTAAATAGTTTGCTGGCTTAGTCGGCTCTTATGCCACCCATGGGATGAATAGGGGTGGTAACATTTCGTATTCTTAATCAACGTCATGTTGATGGTGAAGACTTTTATGCAGGTAGCCGCACACTACTAATTTTTTTTGCCAAGTTAAAAAATATATATATTAATCAATGTATATTTTTCCGATTTTAAATATATAAAAAAAGTTGTGGGTTGAACATAATCTAAGATAATTGTGTTTGATGTCAAAATATCCAAAACATAAATACTAACATTACTGCAATTTGTTGGATTGTTGATAGGTTCTTCGAAAATGGAATGCACCCTAAATTTAGGGTTAGTTTTATTACAGTTTGGACCATCGTAGAACCATAGCTCAACACGCCAATCTGTTACATTCGGGTTCTTCAACGTACACAACTTCAAGGTGTATCGACCAGGCACGTTCACCACTGGAGTGAACTCCACATATTTGTCGCCGATTGTTCCGCATTTGTATTCCACTAGATGACCTTCCGTTAGGCACAGTAAACACAACAAAACAACTGCCACAAACATTGCACACAGTTCTTGCGAAATTATGTAAATAACTTCATGACGACTTTACTTCTATAGAATGCTTGCATAAATAACGGTACCAACTATTGCCCCGTCAGTTTACCCTGTTACATTTTATTGCACAGTGAGGGTACAAAATCAACTTCAGCTTTTATACTACTAAACATCAATAATATGGGGCACAACAAAAATTCTCCTAAACCCAAAATAGTCGACCACTTTTCATTGACAAGTGACAAGTCGACTTTTTAATTTTTACAAACAAAATTAGACTTGTTTCAAAAGTATCTGAAATCGATGTATCGATTTTTTTAATTCATCACCATTTTAGCCGATATATTTTGATCGATATTTCGATACAAAATATCCAATATCGGAAAATTATATCAAAAACGATTTATTTCTTTGAAGTTATAACTTCTCATGAGATGGTAAACCGCTTCGTTACGTAACGCTTTACGGCGCCAGTCTGGCCTCCCTTTTTCTCACGCATACGGCAGCGGTAGGCAAGCTGCTCCTCCCTCACTAACCCACAGCGCTAGCCGTATTTCGGACAGACGTTATACATAAAAATTAAGTAATAACCTAATCTTTTCTCAAGTTAAACAATTTCGATATTAAATAGTTCAACTTAGATTAGTTTAAGTTTTCACTTGTGTGTCCCGAGACGTACCTACACGTTTTTTTTATTTATGTTACTAAAGTCACTAGAATCCAAAACCGTAAAGGATTAGGAACTCGGTTCACGACATCTGGCGGTTGAAATTTTAACTATTACTAGCTTACAAATCTATTATCTTTGCATTACTATTTGTAATAACAAATACTATCTTAATGTGTACATTCATAGAAATGTAAGCTATTTTCCGCCATTTTATCCCAAGCCGCTCCTGTGTTGGTTCCTAATTGTCTATGAACGTTTGCGTCACGTGTATTGTGTGTTTTGTAATTGTTGTCTAATAAAAAAGAATACTGATAAAAATACCATTATTTTTTTTAAGACTTTTGTACATTCGAGTAAAGTACATTTTAAATAAAAATGACTACTGATATTATATCACTTATTAAGCTAAAATATACTTTTATTTAAAAAACCCAAAATCACTTGAAAATCAGATATTTTTATCCTCGATATTGATATTTCAATAAAAGTCGATACATCGTTGTCGATTTTTTTTTTCACTGTCTACATCCCCAAATAAAAAACCTGATGTTTGACAGTAATTGATTGACTGTGTTGCCAGTTTACAGAATATCAATATATGTACATTACCTATGACGAAAAAGAGTTAAAAATAAATGAGGGCGCCACCTTCTCTCACGCATTTGACAGCCCAACTAGAACAACTGTACTTGTTTTGATACTTAATTTAATAATTTTTTTAACCTATATTTTAATTTTTATTACTTATCGATCTTCTATAGTTTGAGCCACCTCATTGGCATTCCGCTGCCAAATAGTAATGTGCATTGTCAGAGACGGTGTTGGGCATAAGGCTTTAAAAGCCATTATTATTTGAGGGTGATGAATGCAATAGTGCTTCTTTTTTTATGTTAGAGGGGGCAGACGAGCAGACGGATCACCTGATGGAAAGCGAATGAACCTCGCCACCCATGAAAGTTTGCAACTCAGGAGTCAAAAACGCGTTGCCGGGCCTTTTAAGAAGGCGTACCCGCTTTTCTTGAATGTTTGAAAGTCGTATCGGTCCAGAAATACCGCAGACGATAACCCGTTCCACAGATTAGTAGTGAATTAAAAAATCACCCAGGATTCGGCTAAATAATGGTGTAAAAAAAAATACTAGATGGAAATGAAAAAATATAATTAAACAATTCAAATTACTTTTATATACTAAACTAGCTAATATTCAACTTTTTCAATCGCATCAGAGTATGCGAGCAGCGGTTTCGAAATTGATTTGTTACTGGTTCCGACATAAAACTCATAGTCTAAAGACTCTGTCTCGGTAAACTGGGTTATGAAAATGTCTATTTCATGGTCCAATGTTTTTTCACGATTTTCATTACCGTATAATTATATTGTACGCATATTTATTGTATAAAATACTTGTTTGGTAATTAATGTCACTCATTAATTAACGTTAACGTTTTAAGACGTCATTGGAAACTCGATAGAGTTATGGAATGACGCTTTAATGCGACCTTGGCAGTCTCCGCTCTGATATCCAAGTTTTGATATGTAAGCTATCAGAAACAAAATATTATAAGTTTAAGTCTTACAAAGCAAATGCCTATGTTAGATTTAAGGCAAAACACAAGTTTATCTGCCTGCCGAGAATTTGATTACAGTGAATAAAATTTGTTTATGAATAAATATTTGATTTTGTTTCATTTAACCTTCCTCCCCTACTTTTAAAAGGAATTCCTTCTAAAAGGAGGAATCTCAGATTTCTTTATGTCAATCTGTGCTAGTATTACAGAGCGCAAGTGTATGTGTTAGTATATGCTAATCTGTTTCGATGTTGCATAGAAGCAAGTATATACAGCGACAGATCAAGCTGTACATTTCTAGTGTAGGGTGATCTCCCCTTAAACTGAAAAATTTCAGTTTATTCTGCGGCTGTGTATATTGTTCTTTCACCGTTTTAAATAAATACCTACGAAGTCAGCTAAATTCTAGCTCTGCTCATTTATGTCGAGATACCCTAAAATTTCACTGTTTTACATGTTTAAAAAAGAAAGGCTAATGAATTTAATGCGGTTTACGTTACTTTTTACGCAGCTATGTCGTAATATTGAGGTTATCAAAATTTAACTAATGCTTTTAAACATTTCCTTACAATCGGTTTTTTACCACAGCAGAAAATTTTGCATATTTAATAAAAGTATCAAAACCTCTTTTTCTTACTATAGCCGGTATTGCCTTTTCCATATTTTTCCTTCAGCAGAAGCATGCGGAGAAAGCTTTGTTACCAGCAGCAAGTTATTCTCTTAACGGAAATGCAAAATTTGTAAATCGACGGTCTGCACCCAAACACGTTGAATTAAAAACAAACATGCGATTTTATGGTGGTTTCATTGACTAATGAATGTTTGCAAATTGATGTTTTGTGCTTAATAAACATCGAGAGTCGATTTTCTGCTATCGATGTCATTAGCGATGCTATCATCGATGTTTTTGCAAAATCGATCTCCCCTAGAACTACCTTATATCGGGATTAAGTAGGTAGTGATCGTCACAAATTTCTAAGGTTATTAACCTCTTAACATTGGCTTTTAATTTCACACAACGCCATCTCGCGGTTGCCAAGAGAGAAGAGAGAGAGAAACTATAGCAGACTGTCAATAATTATAAACCTATTACAATTTTACATATCGTGGACACCCAGTTATATTTAAAAAAAACAGGTACATGTTTGAAATGACATTCAATTATAATGATTGTAAACAATATTGAAATCTTTTATTAATTAATTAATTTGCAGCCGTGTGGTGACGGATTGAGAATACAAAGTGTCACCATCCCTATTCATCCAGTGGGTGTCGTAAGAGCCGACTAAGGGAACAAACTACGTAGAACAACAGCACTGCAGAGAGAAGGAAAACTTGACACAAACTCTATACCAACCCGTCTGGCCAGCGTGGTATAGTAGGCCAAAACCTCCTTTCTAAGAAGAGGCCTATATCCAGCAGTGGACTATTAAAAGCTGTTGACGATGACAAGCGCAACTTCGTCTGCCTCTCCAAATGAATTAATAAATGCGCTATCCAACATTAAATTAACGCTTACACGAAACATACAAACTCTTCAGCTTTATAATATTGGTACATATTATAGTATTTCGCTTTTCGCTCAAACTTTCCCTACCTTGATGGTACTGTTCCACTCTCATGAGTTCATGGCATGTTACAGTCTCTTCCACAGTAAATACTTTATTTAATTATGAAAATTCCAATCTATGAAATAACAAAAAAGAATTATTCAAACCCAAATAGCTTTAGTCTTGTGTCAGTATATATTTACTACTCATTGAATATTTTACTACATACCTATTGCCCAAAGGGGTGAACAGAGGCATATTAGACTCCACATTTTGGCACAATACAATGTGGTCCCACTTTTGTAATGGATCAAACTTATTTGAGATAATTGGGATTACTTTTATTTATAGGAAAGGTAGATTAGAACAGAAGTCAGTATTAGAAATGGCTTGGGCAATAGAAGTAATAGCTCTAGCAGGTCAGGATCGTATATTTGTAACTAAGATAGCCTATTGTCAGAGAGCTCAGGGGCTCCAACCTAAATATTATTATATGACTTATTTAATCACAAAACCTCACTCTTCGCTTCCTTCCTTCTAACTTTTGTACTTAAACATGCATGTGAATAATAAAAAAATGTTAATCTTTACAAACCGGTCAAGTGAAACCGGCCCAGAGAGTCGTATTGCCCATATGATGTGTAGTAACTCTGTAGGAACTATACAGTATAGGTTTCTTTGAGAAAGTAAGTAGATCGTATATGAATACGATTTCAAACATTTTTAGGTTAAATAATTTGTTTACAGGCTCTAGGTACTGAATTAATACACCACATACTAAAACGTGTAAGTATATAGCTTCATTACGTACACATACAGAAAACGTGCACATATGAAAATAAACTTTATACAATACTATTTCATCGATCCCATTAACAGAATTCACCCAAACTCAAAGGAGCGATAAGTTAAAACGCCGACACCGGAGGGCGGTGGCTAAACTCCGATTTGCTGCGCGAGCACGGCGTAGACGGCGAGCGAGGCGAGGCCGAGCGCGGCGGCGTGCAGCGCGCGCAGCGCCAGCAGCGCCCACGCGCCCAGCGCCAGCGCGCGCGCCAGCGCGTCCTCGAGCAGCGCGCGGTAGGGCGCCAGCGCCAGCAGCGTGGCCACGAGCGGCGCCTGCGCGCGCGGCAGGTCGCTGCGCGTCCAGAGCCACACCAGCGCCGCGGTGGCGCCCGTGTGCAGCAGCGCCACGTTGGACTCGGCGCACGAGCGCACGTAGCGCCAGTCGAACTCCGAGCCGCGCGCGCCCACCCACAGCGACACGCTGCGCGTCACCACCACCTGCGCCCGTGAGTGTTACCGAAACCGTTCACGTTTTAAATGCAAGCTTTTATATCCCGACCGTACATAAAGGAAGATCTTTACGTCCGTGCGGCGAAGGACTGCTCAAAAATTTTAAAGTAATGAATATTGAATCACAATTTAAAATAAAAATTTAATTATAATATATATTAATAATAATAAGTTTTACTTTGTATTAAGTATGGCAGTATAGAATTTGTTATCTATTACTTCATCTTTGATCACAGTTAGATAGAAAATCTACAGTAAACAAATGATTCATCAACAGCCTTTAACGGTCCACTGCTGGACATAGGCCTCTCCTTAGAAAAGAGGTTTTGACGTACTATACCACCCTGGCCAGACGGGTCAGTATAGGGTTTGTTTCAAGTTTTCCTTCTCTTTGCAGTGCTGTTGTTCTGCATAATTTACTCCCTTAGACGTCTATTACAGCACCCACGGGATAAATAGAGGTAGTGACACTCCGTATTCTTAATCCATAACCACACGGACAACAAATTATTACTGAATTCTAACATCTACTTGGTAATAAACTAAATTTCATACCATTTACATAAAATTGAGATTCAAAAATTGGAATAAGAATATGCAAAATAATTCAATAGAAAAACTAGTTAAAATAATAATGTCATTTAACTTCTTACAAAATTAATAAGAACAATCAACTAGATCACATAATTCAATGCAACAACAAAGAGATTTTTCTAAATTAAGTATATTAACTGCTCAGCTTTCACCGATAGGTACTGTATAATATAGCAGCACATGAGGAGTTAAACAACATTGTAAATAGGACTTTCTTACCTCTGCACTTGCCCAACCAATGGCAGATGTGAGGATCTTAGCGTGACCTTTGCCTGGCACAGCATTCAAAGCAAAGTAAAGGCCCAAAAGATCAGCAAAGTCCACAGTCGCCTTCAGGACTTCCTGGAATAATTTTTACAACAAGATTTGTATTACAAATTCTATAAAATGTACTTAGTAAAACTCGATTAACCTATGTAATATAAATTTGTGAACTATAACATTAGAAAAAGCACTTATAAACGGTTGAAAACTGAAATTAATTAATATCTCTAAATTAATCTTGATGGGATTGAAAAAGCAAATGGGACAGTCAAATCATTAAACATTTCATTTAAGTGTTGATATTTGACTGGTGTCATGAAAACTGAGCTTCTTCCCTAGCAACAACAAGCAGACTCATATTATATAAAGAGCTTGCAGTCTCAAGTATATGAAATAATAAAAAATATTCACCAAAAATATGTTGTATTCACCAGTGATGTGACTACTGTCTGTGTCTGGGAAGAAAGTTGCTAACAGCAACATCTTGCACAGCTGCGTGAAGATATAAAGCCCACCGGCATACACACATTTTGAAAACGTAGCATACTCCGATCTAAAAGTTAAAATATAGAATTGATTTATTTAAACTAATTAGATTATAACCTATTAGAATGTTACTTACATCCCAGAAAACTTGTATGCCATATGATATGGTGCGTATACTAACGCTAAGCAATTGCCGAAATGATAAAGCGTCATTGTATTTGATATATCTTTTTCTTTCAGTGTTTTAAGGAAATTTGAAGAATTTATTCAGGCGAATCTTGAACATCAAAATGTCTGAATATATATGTCAGTGTCAGTGAACGTCACTCATCACGGACTGAACAAATATCAGGATCCCGAATGTTGATTAAATTAACTGTCCCATTTTAATATATGTACAAACGTGGATATATATTTTTAACAATGATAGAGTTTATTATAGTATACATATAATAAAAATACCCAAAATTCTTAAAATGGAATCAAATGGAATGTCTAAATTTAATGTCAAATATTGTCAGAGGTTAAAACTAAAACGTCCTCTGTCACTGTGCACAACATGATTCTTTCCCCCATTTAACAAAAGTCTTGTTTTTCCAATCTGCAAATATGAGGTGTTATTAAACTTCGCTTCTTTTTATTGCCAGCTTTTTTCATATAAATTTAACAGAACTTTTCAAAAATTAATAGGAGAAAAAAATTACCTTAAGGTCTAGTGAAAATATTGCGTGTAAAGTTTTTCTACAAAAACGTTCCATTCTCAGTAAGAGCAAGCGGACTGTTTAGTACTTACTTTAAAGAGTAAATTGTTTATAAATTACTACAAGTATACATATGAAATGCTGAAGCAATTTAACTTCATAAACTTTCATTCTTAAATAATAATATTTACAAACCATTTTGTGCAAGGAAAATCTGAAACGTTTGAAGTGGTTTGCAAAAACTTGTCACTCCGTGTAATGGATTAGAAGCAGCGCGCCAAAGATAAATAATGACAACAGGTGTAAATTGAATAACATATTAAAGTTGCTTTAAAGATTTGTCTATTGTCTTTTTAAAGTAGTTTTAGATAAGACAATGTTTTAAATAATGAATATGCAATGTATTTGTAATCACTAGGACAATCGTGATTAGTTCTAAGGATTTACATTAGGTATTTGAAGTTTTAATTATTTTTTAAATAATTGTAATTATATTAATGATAGCTCAGTTTCAAATCTTATTTGTTATAAGCATAAATCTATATCAAATTCGGGTCATGTTGAGGTAACAAAATTTTCACTGCCACAAAAAAGGGTGATTGCTAGAAAGAGATGCAAAATAAGAGGAACATTTAAAAAAGGGTTCTTTTTAACCCTTCCGTTTTTTAGCACACGCGCAAAAGGGTAAGGGGCACGTTATCCAATGGTAAAGCAGGGTTAGCTGAATTTTGAATTTTATTTGCCCGGGGAGATGTCCGGAGACTACCTACTTGGTGGGTGCTCCGGACACCGTCTCCAAGCAGTATTCTGTTGGAAGTGGTAGTAACAACCTGTTTATTTAAATGAAGTGGGTGTTACGCCCTTATTACATATTCAAGAGTTTCTTTGTAAAGTTAACTTAATATTTTAGTTTTTATGAGGTTTGTGAAATTTTAACGGTGAGAATAGATCATTTGGTGTAATGTTGTGGATATTATCAACTGCTATTTGTGATCAATTATTTCCAAATTGTATTCCACGGTAAGTTATTTCAACTATTAAAATCTAGATCTTGGTATTTTTGTTTATTTTTTTTTGTACCACAACATTTTATATTTTTTTATAATAAATTAACTTTGGTTTAAAAAAGTTATATTCGATAGTTGAGAGTGTGAGAAATACTTTTACAGTACTTTTTATAGTACACAGTATAGATTACTATTTAATTCTATAAAATTAAAGTTTCTTAAAAAAATATTTAAGAGATAATTTAATATTTATAATAGTTTCATAGATTTAAAAATATTACCTATCCTTCAATATAAAAATAAGTTAATCAATTGTAATAAAAAAAGTAACTTAATTCCTATAAGATTCTTATTTATTTAGCTAAGCTTTCTTAGCTTAGCACAAGAATATCAATTGGAAGCAATATAATGAAGGGTAATATTAAATAAAAAAACACGTCTTAATGTATAGAGATGCAATTCATTTCGTCTAATATAAGCAATTCTTCTGACTTAATTTTTTTTAAATCAAATATCAGATACAAACAATAAACGAGATACACCTGTGTACCAAATGCGTTTAAGTTTTTTTTGCAGGTTTAATAGTAAGATGAGATATATTAATGCCTGGATTAACAGGCAAAGTAGCGGAAAAAGGCTAGAATAAGCCGAATATTATAAGTGTGATATGTGGTGTGATAAAACCAATTTATATTTGGTAGACTGCCCTATTGACGTATTTCTTTTTTATAACTTAAAAGGACAGGCGTTATAAATTAAGGTTGATGTGTGTATCTGTGTGTGTGTGTTTTGAGCAAAGGACCAATGGTACATCAAGAAAATCTATTCAGCCATTCAAAGCTTAGCTTAGCGTTTTTGTAATCGAGATTTTTAAATAGAGGATTTTTTTATTTAACTTGTTTGAGTTTTAGATTTTTTTTGTGTGTGATTGGGGTCGTAAGTTTTATGAGAGGAATGAAAAACATTCGCTAAGCAAAAGTGATACCGCAGGTGTTCCGGTATAAAGTTTTCGGTAACCTGACTTTCAGGCGAGGTTTGTGCTCGTGGACCAACTTATTATTGGCTATGGTCCACGGCTGGTGACAGGCCTCTCTAAACGTACCCTTCAGCCCACAGATCATCGAACACCCACTTCATCACTTTCGGGTAGTGTCCCATCTTCCGTTGAACGATTCGCGATCTCTACTTTGAAAACATTTTCTTCAACGCCCATCGTTCTTTTGAGTGCTAGCTTGCCTTCTTTAAAAAGTATTTAATTTACTCATTTACCTAATATTTATTTTAGAATGATTTTTAGGCTGATTCCCTAAAGTTTTAATTTTTTTTCATTTCAACAACTCGTTTCAATATACAGTATTTCGACAATCTTGAGTTAATGCCAGAAACAATTGGTTATATTGTTTTTTTTTCAGTTAAAAACAGCAAATAGTTGGAACCTAAAAGGTGATGATCCATGCCTGTTGGTTTACAATCGAATTCAGCTATTCAGTAGTTGGTCGCTTCCCTTTCGGAAATTTGATCACCTTATTCGTCTGGAGCAATGTGCATTACGAAAGTGTCCGTCCGTCCGACCGTCGCACAACTCTGATTTGGTAGAAACCTTTTTCGGTTCCCTATAAGAATAGTAAAATAAAATATTATTTAAGTAGGTACATTACATCCGTGTGGTAGCGGATGAAGAGTACAGAGTGTCACCACCCCTATTCATCCCGTGGGTGTCGTTTGCCGACTAAGGGAGTAAACTACGCAGGACAAAAGCACTGCAAAGAGGAAGAAAACTTGAAACAAACCCTATACCAAACCGTCTGGCCAACGTAGTATAGTAGGCCAAAACCTCCTTTCTAAGGAGAGGCCTATGTCCAGCAGTGGACTAGTAAAGGCTGTTGATGATGATAGATGAGGTACATTAAAGTCGGGTACACTTTTTATGCTCTAAAATTGATATTTAATAAGGAAATTACAGGCTCTAGATACGAGAATTAAAACCCAATAAATCTATAGATCCTTCTAGAGTATATATAAATGATTAAGTAGAAAGATCAACAACTGATAGGAGTTCAACAACTTTAACAGCTGTCACATAGGTATATCGCTCGGAGAGTTGACTGATGTATGTCATAGGAAACGGTAGGCTTGGAAAGTAGTTGGGTGCAATTTATTAGTTGATAAATCAATCAACATTTGTTACGTCAAATATGGCCAGTACTGCGGAACATAAAACATAGAACAGTTCAGCTATAAAGATTTTAGCTTAACTCATTCCACAAAGTTAGTTAGAAAATATCGATTATTTCATAATCAAGTTTTAGTGTTGTGTTAATTGGATCGTGTTTATGGAAACTTATATAGATATTATATTCTTTTGTAGGCGAGTAGCTAGTTAGCAGTGTTATGTTTTAGGTATACCAAAAAATTATATTTAAAACTAGCCATTGCCTACAATATCAGCTATTTTGATGGTCACTACCCTCAGAGTTGAAGCCTGAGGTTTTATATCTTAAACTATTCCTTAAAAAATACTGTATCCAGTACAAAAATAATAATTTTAATTTGACTAAACGTTCAAGAATTTAGTACGATTAAATAATAAACTTCCGCTTTATTATATTAGATAGTATGTAGATTCATCGGCGTATGGGTAGCCTTTACTTATGTACGACAATGTAAGGCTTTTTTTTTATATTATTGTGGCCATACCTACAGTTCCTTGTTTTTTTTTTTTTAAATTTATTTATTGCAAAACAACATGGATACAATTATTTTATAAATAAATAACATACAGATAGTATGGCTAATAACAGGTTTTCAGGTTAACAAAAAAACTATATATCCAGCTAGCGAACGAAAACATAAAAAGTTGACATAGCATAATACTCAATAGTAAATATGTCTAAAATATGAGACAGCACAAAATTATTGTCCATCATTTACACTGTCCACTCAAAACGTTAGAAATTTTACATTTAAACAGTTGTTTTGAACACGAGAAGAGATCAATCTCGTTGAAAAAAATATTGTAAGTAAGCGTAATACGCGTAAATACACTGCTTCTTGCATAGTTAGTTGCATGTCGAGGTGCATGAAGCATGGGTGTATGTCGGGTGCGACGTAAAGAAGTGTTAAACCAATTCGGCAGTATCTATATGTCCCCATTTATAGTATCATACAACAACCATATGCAGGACCATACGTCTGACCTCAAGAGTCAACAAGCCGTGAGCTTTACAACTTTGACGGTAGGTCATGACTGGCTTACGCAAACCATAGTTAAGGTGATCTATAAGTTTTTTTTAAAGGGGACCAAATAGGACAACCATACTCCAGTGTACTACGTACGTAAGCAGAATAAACAAACTTTAGGGAATCAGTTGTTTTAAAATTTTGACAAGATCGTAGGACAAACCCAAGGTTTTTGTATGCTTTAGAACAAACCGTGTCAATGTGCTCAGAAAGCAATAGTGTACTGTCGAACGTTACTCCGAGATCACGTACAGCAGAAATATCTTTTTATTTGAGCGCCATTAAAGTTGTATAAATAGTTTAAGGGTTGTTTTTACGACTGTAAGTGACACATTGGCATTTATTAATGTTCACGGAAATTTTATTCTTGTTGTAATAATTATACAGATGGTTTAGGTCAGATTGGAGTGCCAAGCAATCATTAAAGCATTGATATTTTCTAAGATCTATCAATGTGTTCCATCGGAACCGAAACTAGTTAAACGCCAGCTAATATTGGAAGCTAAAAAAGATAAGCACAATAAACCCCAAACTTACAATTTTATAATGTAGTTGTATATTTGCGGTACGAATTCGGTACCTAATGCGTCATATTCATAAGTGGCGCACGAACATTTGAAATAAAATGAAAAAAGAATAAAAGGGCGGCTGTGTCGTGAGGAGTCCACTCACGTCATCCCTCCATTACAGCATTGTCCGCGCGACAATGGCGATGGAGTATAAAGAATCGCGGCCATTAGGTAAATTTCCTCATACATTTTTTTTTGCGTGACACCCTCGCCGCGTAAAAAGTGGGGAAACGTACATTTGTCATGTGGAAGAGAGTAGCTGTCGCGATTCTCGCGAGATCTCAATCTTGGTATGGTGGCGTGAAGTTTTTGTCAAGCTTAATCGACTGGGGTGGCTCAGGTACTGCGGTTTTGTGTTTTGGACATTCTCTAATAAAAAAAGAGATGTGTTTTGCACTTCAGAAGAGTTTTATAAGCACTAAACAGTTTCCGTTCCATTACGTATATAACGTCAAATACCTACTAAAACCCTTTTTACAATTAAAATATAGCTATAAAACTAGGTAGGTGGCTATTTGGGGAAGAGATAATAATATAATTAAAACACTGAGTACACTGAGTTGTAAAACTGAGTATTCAGAACTAAATAATATAGAAAACGTACTCTCTGTGTTCGTATTGGTATCAAACTTAATTTTAACTTTAATAAAGTAATTCTGTACTAATTAACTTTCACCCTTAGGATATTTCTTAACCCTACAAGGCACCCAGTGCCATATACGGGACAACCACTTTTATGCTTCCTATAGATTTATACAATACTCATAGTGACGTCTGTGTGCTTTTTAAAGGTACACTACTAAGGTAGTAACGATATGATGCGAGACATTTTTCATAGATGTCATTACTTTTTCGAAAGCGACGGCAATGTGTGAAATTTGAGACAATCATTTAACGTTTCTTGTTGGTGCAAATTCAAAAATTACTAAAAAATATTAATTGAAGGATTTTGAACCGGATAAAAATATTGTGTAACGTGAAAAGTGTTAATTTTGTAGAGGTAAGCTAGTTTTTTTCATTTCTTTATTAATTGCATTCGAGAATTGTATTTTTATGGATGTGCCACATATGGTACAGTGAGCTTTAGGTTATCTTTTTCATATGTGTACATACCATAACTGTACTAACGAATTCCTTGTTTTTTACAGATTATGTCGAACCGATTATTACGCGACAATGAAATTCAGGATTATCTCGATATACCCTCAGGTAGTGAGGATGAGGAAGATCATTCGGAAGCTGAAAGCGATGATGACATCAACAATATCCAGTCTACCCTCAATCTCTTTGCGGAATCAACTAGCGACATAGAAATATCACGAAGTTTGTCTCCAGCTACCGTGGATGTTCGTGGATCTACTTCTCAGCCCAGTACATCAGGTGCATTTTCAGAGTCTACTTTGGATGGCCCCAGGCAATCACGCAATTCAAGACGGTCCTCAATTTCCATCCCTTTAGCTAATAGAACTAAAAACCAGTTCTCTGTATCGTATTATACGTCTCCAGAACTGATTTCATATTTGGCCAAAGAAGGAATACAATCGTTAGGGACAGTGAACAAAGGTCGTTTAGGAAAAGACCTTCAAAAACCTTCTCTAAAGGACCCGAAAAAAGATAAAGTGGAGAGGGGATTTTCCGAAGAATGGGTGGCTGATGCTGATGGAACTGATGTCGTAACAGTTTTATGGTACGATAACAAACCTGTTGTCTTATCATCATCTTTTGTGGGTCAACAGCCGTCACAATCCGTAAAGAGGTACTGCAAGAAACAGAAAAAATATATACAAGTAGATTGTCCCCAAGTAGTCAAAACGTATAATCAGCATATTTTCCTAGAAACGAGACAGTAAGTCCACACCAGTGGACTTACTGGTCTCGTTTCTAGGAAAATACAAAATAAAAATTCGGACGAGAAAATGGTGTTTGAGGGTATTTTATCATCTTCTTGATGTAGTTGTTATAAATAGCTGGTTATTGTACAAGAGAGTTGGAGAGCAGAAGCGAATATCAACCCCACTCAAGCTAAGGGAATTCAAACTTGATCTAGGATAAACTCTCTATGCAAGGGCCATCGATTACCAAGAAAAGAGGCATACCGTCAAGTTTGCCTGACGATATTGAAATAAAGAGAAAGAAGAACATTTCAGCAATCTTACCTCCTGTTGACGTCAGACGTGATGGATTCTGTCATCTTCCTGTTTGGGGTACAAAAAGGCAACGGTGTAAATATCCCAGTTGCAAAGGAAAAACCTTCATATTTTGTGAGAAATGTGCAATTGAATTATGCCTGAACAAAGATAACAATTGCTTTAGGAAGTTCCATCAGTAGACGCTAATTATTTTTGTAATATTTTGGTTTATTTTTATATTGTTAATTACACATACACACACACACACACACACACACACACACACATACACACACACACACGCACACACACACACACTAACACTAAATAAATTCATATGCTAAGCCGTTACTAAAATAATTGAATGTTCCTGTTCTTTGCCAAAAAAGAAGATTTAAGGCACAGTGTACCATATGTGGAACTGAAAAAAAATTATGATTTTCTAGTTCAATATTTGGTTTTCAACATTTTTATTTATTTCCCCTAATTTCTTAACACTAACTACATCTTATATAATTTAATCAGCTATGAAAAAAAAATTGAGCCTTGTAGGGTTAAAATTTGAATAGGACCAAACGATAGGTAGGGTATACTTTCCGTTTAGTCCCAAAGTTTGGATTCAAATAAAAAAAAGAATATGCAAATCGGTTCATAAACGTATAGTAGGTATAGTAGGCCAAAACCTCCTTTCTAAGGAGAGGTCTATGTCCAGCAGTGGACTGTTGAGGTTGTTGATGATGAATTCCACATGCGGCCGAATTTAGATCTCCACCTTTTTTGGTCGCTTAAAAAGGGGCGCTTATATAAAGGCGTTTTTTTAATAATAACACCGCGGGTAACTTTGGATGGTTGGTATCAATAGTTTAATTTATTTAGATTGGTCTAATTAAGCGCTGGGAATGGCATATGAAATAATTACGGTTACGAATAGCAAGCAGTTAACCATATTTGTTTTAGTTTCGCCACTCCTAATATATATACCTATCAATAAATGTATGTGCTATAAGCGCTGTGCCAACGTCTATCTCTAAGTTGCTGTTTAGTCAGGCCAAGATTTGCATAATTTCGCGATGCTCTACCTCCGGTATAAATCAAAATAATTTTATAACATTTCTTTCTATCGTTGCTTTTGTTAGATTCAATTCCCTTTATCTTCGTTCAATTTCTATATTCTCAAATTAAGGTTAAAAATTATATTTTACTTGTAGTGAGTATTTAGCTTTTGTTATACTCGTATACAGAATCCTTTGTATCACTTGCACGAGTGTTAGTAATCGCTTTGGTTTTTCAATTCACTTTAGTAAGCAAATACAATTATTCTATCGATTAAAATGTGTAGAGTCAAGTACAGTGACAATCCATGCCTTGCCATGTCTCACTCTTATGGCGATGAACGTATGAACTTAGACGTCGCAATCAATAATGTATTATAGGAAAATAATTTCAATTTGGTGTGTGAGTGTTGGACATTGGAATGCATTATTCAGAGCACGTATATTGCAGGCGAGTGTGCCACGCAGATAAGCGAGTATTGAGCCGAAAATACCGAAAGTCCGAAACAGTCCGTCGCCGGGGGGCCTTATCGGAAACGGCTTACGGTGACCCCATGCAAACTCCCTAATGCGACATCGCTCACCGGTCCCTCCCGCTTTGCCCTCCGGCGATCGATCTCGATGCAAAATTGCCGATAGGGGATTTTAGGGCTAGTTTTGTTTCTTGTGCGTAATTTTTTTATTGAGATTATATCGATACGATCTTGGTACTCCGACAGCAGGTGGTTCGCCGATGATTTATTTCATCTCCTTTTTACCTAGTAGTAGTAGTAATACAAGCACCTAGAAAATATAAAACAAACACATTGTAAAATATGTCCTGGATATTATTGATATTCAGACGTGAAGCACTAACGCATACACTCTCAAAATATATTCAGCTAAACTAAGTTGAAACCTCTGAAGCTTAAGTTCCATAACTTTAAAGTATTTACCAACTACCAAAGAATGCATAAGATCATCAGATTCATAAGGCACATTATTCACCAACATACCTAAGCACTTATAATTCATGATAGCACGATGTGTTAGTATTTGGGGAATTTAGAGGCTGTTCATAAAACCCGATAAGGTTTTATATGCTACTGAATATTGAACGGCGGCGAGCTATATACATATTTTGCAAAGAAATACACAGATGTATCTCTGGGCCGTTTGATAGGGTAAGCGAGGTGGAGAGTGGGTGGAACACAAAATGAATAATTCGTTCCTTTTTGATATTACTGCAAGGAACTACACTAGGTATTCATATCGGATTAAATTTGTCAAAAATAGAAAAAAACTTATGTCAAAAGATCAGGATCATTTGTTATGATTATCATCACGTACTCAATAGATCCAGACACTTATATGTAGGAATTCAACAGTGAACTTCCCATAACTGAGAATGTGATTAAATATGTAACTCAATTCATATGTTTACTACAGTGCTAGAAATTCACAAAGTATTTTTATAACCTAACACAATGAGATCAACAGTTTTGGTTTTCTATAAGACCTCATTACCTCTGGCGTAAACAACTTCTCTATTCCCCTTAAATCATTATCCATTTTCAACATTGTTATGTTTAAATACAAGAATGTGTATAATGATCTGTGTATGTTATTTTGTTATACATCAATTTATTTTAGCGACCTAAGAGGACATATTATGTTAATGATGTAGGTACTAACACAGCAGAATCAATTGAAAAAGATAACTTCAAATGATACTTATGTACGGGTGGTATTTACTCGTATGTATATCGGTTTCAATTCCTGAGTTATTTACGCACCCTCCGTGCCGGCCCACCACCGACACATCTCGCATATTTATTCATAGGCCTACGTATTTTTTACTCGGTCATAAATATTAAAGGCGGCTCGTGCCGCCAGGATTTTCAATTCGACAGCAATGTCGGATCCCCTTAGATTTTAGGCTTTCTCTCTTTCCGCGGATTAGAACGGTTTGATGTATGGCCGCGGGTGGCGGTAAATCAAATTTTGATTGCTATTTTCTTTGTGGAAAGTCGGAATCCTCCGCCGGGGACGAGCGTCGAGTAACGTGGGTTAACCGATCCCCAGGCGCGCCGCCGCCGTTCTTATGTGGATTCTATGTACAACATATACATTTCTTATATCGGGATTGACATAAAACCGATTACATTTTTTTATTATGTTTAAATAAGTATATCAAATGTTTAAGACTTGAAGCATGGATATTTTCCTTTCCAAACTGATAATGGAATTTGTCTCTATAGGTGTATATTAACTCAAATATTGAAATACTTATCAAATTCTTAAGTTCTATTACTTATTACTGTTTCTTACAATAACTAAACTAAACTAAATTCAGTAACATTTGTAAATAAAATAGCTACAGAGAGCACCGAATTGATACAAGTTTAAGTTTACTTAGGGCAATTGAAATCAAATTTGTTTGGGTAAGTTGATTTTAGTGTAATAACTCGGAGGTCGGGGAGTCGGGCCGCGCAGTAACCGCTTGTGTGATCCAATTGCGGGCCGTTCTAAAGGCGATCCGAACGGTTGGAATCAAATTCAGCCGCCCTTTAAATATTTGAACTGACGCTGGAGGCGCAACGAAGGACGGGCCTGCGAGTCCAGCGACTAGGGTCGGGTGGTTCGGGGTGTACCTACACAAATGACAAATAGCCCGTGTTTCATTTGTTTGACATGATGTCTTAGGAAGAGTTTAGAAAAAAATATTTAAACAATGTTGTTTCTTTGTACCTAATCCTAAATTTTGTTTGTAAGCACTGACGGTCATTGAGTGCTTTACCAGTACCGCGTACGTAATATAAGTATATCTGAGGTAGTTAGATGGAAGACGCAGCTAGCGCGGGTCAGCGCCGGAGGGTGGGGGCCCACCTCCGGATAAAAAAAGGATCTCGAAAAATTCTCGACCCTTTTTATACTAAATAGATAGCTAACACGGCCTGAGTGGAGTTTCAATAGATGCTTTCTCGACGGAAGAAGCGACCTGTAAGGAATCGAGGGGCCCAGTGAAAAACCGTGTTATATATCTGCCGTCGCGTGTAGTGCGTGTCACAGAGTTTTTCCTTTTATTTTTTACGCGTGCCCTCCTCAGAGGGATAAGAGGAATTCTTTTTAAATTGGAAATGTTTTCTAAGAGGATTACGATTTGCGGAGGTGTGCGCCGATGTTGTACGTAGGGAATAAGGGATCGTGTTACTGTTTTGTGTTTAACATTCTTTAAATTTTCTTCATAACATATACGCATCAAGTGGGATTAGAGATTTTAAGGGAGATTGTAAGGGATGCTTTATTTCACTTTCTTTTTTAAAAGAATATGTGGGATTTTATTGTAGTTGAATATAATTCATTTGAAGGCGTATTTGCAACGCCCATACCCGCAGTAGGTACTTTCTTAAAGCCTACTCAACAAAAATCCCACGTTGGGATAAAAAATATCGTGTAACTATAACAATGGACCGATATTCCAAGTGACCATTACTTGTGTGAAGTTGATGTAAGCACAAAGCTGCCGTTTGTCGAATAAGGATATTTTTTTGGGTACTTCAACTATGCTGGTGAGGAAATCTTAAACTTTATTGTAATAAGGACGAAAATTCAACAATGCCGAATGCCGAATACACAGGCGATTATCCTGTGCAGTTGCACCATTAGTGATGGGTATTCAGTTTAAAT